CACAGCTATTGAAATATTGTTCCTTAAGGAGCAGAAAAGCAAATTATATTCCCTGCATGCCACTGCTCTTGGACAGCCAGTCATTAATATTTTAATATTTTATAAAAATATCTTAATATTTATTAAGTAAATTTAAGTAAGTAAATTAAGTATAAAATATAAAATATTTTAATATATTACGTATAAAATAGAAAATATTTTTATACAATATTTAATTTTAAATATTTTATAAAAATACGTTATACTTCATTTGGAGGGAATGGGGCAGGATTTCTGGCTTGGGGCTGAAAGGGGAGGATGAGGCAGGGCTGGGCTGGCAGCCCAAGCAGCAGTTGGTTCAAAACATGTGGGATTTTTTGGAAGGAGTCCCTGTGGCAGTGCTGAGGGCTGCCAGGACCTTGCAGTGTGATGCAGAGGGCAAAATGGGATTGCTGCACGTGGAAATTCCCTTTGCAGAGTCACACAAGGAAGAAAAACCCATTTTATTCCTCTGTTTATCCCTGTAAATTCAGCACATTACTTTATTTTCATTCCTTTTTCTGCATTGGGAAGGTGGCTGAAGGCTCTCTGTGCTTCCCTCCTTCCCAACTTTCTTTTTGGATTTGTGTTCCTAAACCCCTCTCCAAGCAAGGAGGTTTTCTGCTGAAAATCCCATTTTATTCCAGTGTTTATCCCTGTAAATTCAGCACATGACTTTATTTTCAGAGGAAAGGAGAATTTCCTCCTGCATTGGGAGGGTGGCTAAAGTTTCTCTGTGCTTCCCTCCCTCTTTTTGGGATTCATTTTGGATTTGTGTTCCTGAGCAGAATTCCTGGCTTCCCTCACCAAGTAAGGAGGTTTTCTGCTGCTCCAAATTCTGTCTTTAAACTTCAGAAAATTCCAAGGAACTTTTCAGCAGGGCTGTTCTGCACTTTTCCAGCAGTGAAATGTCCCAGCTCGAGGTGACGCAGCACTGTGCTACAGGGCAGAGCCTCGGTAAATTGAATTATCCTTGAATAACCAGAAAAAGGAAGCTTTATGTTTAAAATCAGTGCAGATTTGGGCTGATCCTCTGCTTAAAGAACACAATAATTCTTGTATCATTCATATGCTTAAACTTAGCTTAATTTGAGCTTTGGTGCAGGACCAAGGTGCCAAAACCTCTACAGCATCCCTGGAAGGTGATGAATTAATTATCTCTCACATGCCAAAAATATTTGGAATTATCCCTGGCATGCCAAATATCCCTGCAGGAATAAAGGTGGGGTGGAAAAACCAGGGAAGAGTCAATCCTGTGGGCAATGAGTGTGGTGCTGGAGATCAGATGTGGCAGAGGATAACTGGGCTATAAATCCATGAATTAACTACATAAATACATGAATATAAATACTGATAATTGCAGGCAGAACCTCATTTTTCCAAGTGGAATGAAAAATCAACCCTGCATTTCCTATCTTTGTGGTGCTGGAGGAAAGGAGAATTTTATTATTAAAATAAAATATTTCTTTTTCCAAGTGCAATGAAAAATCACCAAGCTAATTGTGGAGAATGCAGCCTGTGCCAGGCATGCACGATGAGAGTGCAGCATTATCAAACTCATTGTTTAATTACCAATTAACTCAGTGCTGATGAATCAGAGCCATTATAGGTTTGTCGGGTTCAGGTGCCATCAGGTGCATCCCAGTTTGTGTGGAATCAGGAATTCTTCTTGGCAGAAAGAAAATGATGCATGAGAAAAAAGAAATTATATATATAAGAAAAAGAAAACTGTATATGAGAAAAAGAAAATTATATAGGAGAGGGAGGCTGAGCCTCAACAATCCTTGATTTTCAGGCTGAAATCCTGTCTGGAAAAAAAGAAAAATTCAGGATGCTGAGGTGAGGTGAGAGGTTTGGGAAAGGCACAAATCCCAAATTGTGCAGGGAGAGCCAGAGCATCCGCACAATTCCAGGAAGCCACAGCAAGGAGGGGCTGCTCCCAGCAGTGATTGTTTAATTTGCTAATTAGTGCTGAAATCTCCTCAAAGTCAAATAAAGCAGAGGATGTGAGCTGCTGGAGCTGCTCCCTCCTCCCCTGCCCCACATTTCCGCACCCCCTTTTTGGTTTGTAGTTTTTTGTTTGTTTTTGTTGTGGGTTTGTTTTTGGTTTTGTTTGGTTGGTTGGTTTTTTTGGTGGTTGTTTTTTCGTTTTTTTGGGGTTTTTTGTTTGGGTTTTTGGGTTTTTTGGTTTTGTTTGTTTGTTTTTGTGCAGATATTCATGGATGTGGGGGCTTTGCTGGTGTTTGGGTGAAGAGTGGGGTATTTTTCATGATTTGTCTCTGATGTGACCTTGGCTATGTTATTTTACCTTCATTGCACCTGGTAGATGCATTTGAGGGATGAATTAAAAGCTTTTTGTGCAAGGAGATTTTTCAGGATTGCAGCAAAGAGGGAGATGCCACAAGTCTGTGAAGAATATTGAATATTTTATGTGAATATTGAAGAAAAATCTCTAAATTTTTGGTGTGCTGTGCTCTCTTTTTCTAAGGGGCAAACCTGGAGATGGGAGCAGGGCAGGCAGAGCTTTGTTCAGACTTTGTGGCCAGGTGTTTTATTTTCTTCTCCCTCTGTTCTTTTACCTTCCTTCCACCTGGTAGATGCATTTGAGGGATGAATTAAAAGATGTTTTGTGCATGGAGATGTTTCTGTGGTAAAGAGGGAGACATTACAAGTCTATGAAGAATATTGAATATTGCCTGTGAATATTAGAGAAAAATCTCTGATTTTTTGGTGTGCTGGGCACTCCTTTTCCATGGGGCAAACCTGGATGCGGGAGCAGGGCAGGCAGAGCTGCTGTGACCTGGAAATGTCATTTTTGCTCCAACTTTGTGGCCAGGTGTTTGTTTGCTGTGCCCAGCCCCAGTTAAACGGGAGGTTGTGTGTGCTGGAGCAGGGCTGCCAACAGGCAGGACGTGACCTGGGAAATAAAAACCCCTTTTTCTGACAGGGGATAAACGTCTCCCTCTCTGGGCCTTGCTATCAGATGCTTTTTGGTCTTATTTTCAAACACGGTGTCCATTAACAATCAGGTTGAGAGCTCTGGGGATTTATCTCCAGGGTGGACCACATCCAGTGCCAATATTCTTCACCTCAGGATGAGGTCTGGGATAAATCACTTTTTTTTCCTTGCCGTGCTGTTTTGGATTGGAATATTCTTCACCTCAGGAAGAGGTCTCTAAGAAAAATCACTTTTTTGTCCTCTTATACTGGTTTGGGTTGGAATATTCTTCACCTCAGGATGAGGTTTCTGGGAGAAATCACTTTTTTTCCCCTCCACGCTGTTTTGGACTGGAATATTCTTTACCTCAGGAAGAGATTTTAGGGAGAAATCACCTTTTGTCCTTGTTACACTGTTTTGAGTTGGAATTTTTTTTCACCTCAGGATGAGGTCTCTGAGGAAAATCACTTTTTTTTCCCCTTTCCATGCTGTTTTGAGTTGGAATATTCTTCACCTCAGGAAGTTTTTGGGAGAAATCACCTTTTTTCCTTGTCATGCTGTTTTGGGAAGAGATGAGAATCTTGACTCCATGTTTAAGAAGGCTGATTTATTATTTTATGATCTATATTTATGATATATATTATATTAAAAGAAATTATATATGTATATGGGAGAAATTTTGTATATGGTTTTTATGGGTGCAGAAATTCTGTGTGTGATTTTTGCTGGGTGTAGATATCCTGGGTGTGATTTTTGCTGGGTGCAGAAATTCTGTTTATTTTTACTGGGAGCAGAAATTCTTTGTGTGATTTTTGTTGGGTGCAGAAATTCTGTTTATATTTTTTGCTGGGAACAGAAATTCTGTGTATGACTTTTCCTGGGTGCAGAAATTCTCACCTGGGATTTCTGGGATGCCCTGAGTGTCATTTCCTGCAGATCCTGCCCTTTCAGACATGCAGATAAAATTCTTGCAGCACCTTTCTCTGCTGATCCAGCACTGGAGCTGTGCTGAGTGAGTGTTCCCTGTGGGAACACACAAAATTCCAGTCTGTCCATGGAGATCCAGGTGTTGAAATCCTGGGTTTGCAGCTCCAGAATTACAGGTCTGAGAGCTTCTCTGCATTCTTAGGGGTTTTTAAAGCCCTGAATTTCTGCTTTTAGTGGAGTTTGCTCCTTGGAGTCTGAGGATAAATGACTAAAAGCAAGAATGGGATCATATGATCTGATTCCTGCTGCCAAAAGATGAAGGGAGGACAGATGGTTTAGGAATTAAGTGAATATTTTACAATGTTTTTCTTTCCAATAATAGAAAAAAAAATGGGGGGTGAAATTGCCTAATATTGCCCTGCCAGTCATTAACAATGCAAATAAATGTGGAGGAAAAAAAAAAAGTTTATTCCTTAAAATGTGTGGGAATACAGGCATTAGTGGATTAGTGGTGGAGTTATTTATTTTTATTTAAAAAAAAATCAATTTGCTCTTTTCTCCCTTCTAACCACCCCCCTGAACACGCCACTGTTTTATCCCAGTGAGTTGCTTTGTGGTTATTGTGGTTTTTCTTCACCCAGCAACAAGACAAAAACATAAATAAAGGAAAATGTGCTTGTGGATCCACAGATTTTGATGAGACTTCAGGCTTCAGATTGTCGAAAGCAAATCTGGCCCTGTTCTGCAGTGAATTTGAGGCCAAAAATCTGGTTTTGCTACAAATGTGTGATCTCTGACACAGCACAGGGGGATTTTAGTCCCCATCAGACATTTCAAGGCTCTGGGGAGACTCCAAAATGGGAAATTCTTGAAATTATTTTAGTGCCTCCCAGTTTGGGGTGGTTGTCTGGAACGTTGTTCTACCCTTTATTTTGATTTATTTCCTCTATTCTCAGAGTCTCTCATTCTTTAAACGCAGAGCACCTGCTGGCACCAACATTTTAATGAATAAATTGCATTTTTCCTGAACAATTGGAGAAAACCATTGTCCCTTCTGATCTGATGTGATTTCAAATTCCTGATTTTCTTCCTTTTGTTGTTTTATTTTGTTTTCCAGGGTGGTGAAGGAAGAGATCTCAGATGACAATGCAAAGCTGCCCTGCTTCAATGGAAGAGTGGTGTCCTGGGTATGTTGGATTTTGTCTGTGGAAATCTGTGTTCGATACTGGAAGCTGATTTACTGTTTTTGCTGGGATGAAGGAACACAAGGAAATAATAGTAAAGTAGGTTTATAGGAGTTTTTTCCAACTGAACAATCGGAACAAAAGTGGAATTATCAGGTGGAATGAGCAGCTCTTTCATTCCTGTGCTGATTTTAGGAGTTGAAGATCTTGCAACTTACACTTCTTACAAATTTTTTATATTTTAACAATTTTTATATTTAACTGTTATTTTTATATTTATTTATTATTTTTATATTTTAACTAAACTATTATTTTAATATTTTAACTATTTTTATATTGTAACTAAACTATTATTTTAACATTTTAACTATTATTTTTATGGTTTAACTATTATTTTTATATTTTAACTATTTTTAAAATATTTAAACTATTTTTTAAGTATTTTAACTATTTTTTAAAAATTGAGTAATTTTTATATTTTAACTATTTTTTAATATTTTAACCATTTATTTTTGTATTTTAACTATTTATTTTTGTATTTTAACTATTTATTTGAATATTTTAACTATTTTATCCCTTAAAATATTTTAGCAGCCCAGACATTGAAGTTATACAGAATAAGGACATTTGCTGCCTGCTGAGCAGCTTGACCTTTCCCAGCCTGGCTTCTTGCAGGCAGGATTACATGGAAATAACACAAAAAATCAAATGCAGAATTGATTGCCTGCTGTTTCCTGCATGCAAGGAGAAGTGCAGTGTGTTTTTCAGACTGGCTTTGACTGGGAGATGCTTCTTGAGCAAAGATTCCTTGTGGAATCTTTGTGCCCTGCTGGGAAATGCTGGATCACACAGCTCCAGCCACTTCTTCCTGCTCTACTGATTGATTTTTATTTTAGGGCACTCAGATTCTGGCAGCTGGGTAGTCCCAACAGGTTTTTAGTGTTAGGCAAGCAAAACACATGGCTTTGTAAAGCTGAGTTTAAAATCAGTCCTCCCACACACACCCAAATGTGTGTTAAGCACTCAGTAGATTTTGTATTAATTGAGGTCTTAAAAATTGGGATTTTCAGTCTGTGCTGTCCAAAAGTAGCTGGGAATTGTGTTCAGAAGGAAAAGTTTTTTTTCGCCCTTTTTTTTAGGACCTCCCTACCTGTTTTTTTACCCTTTTGCTCCAACCTTTAGCCCAAGCAGCAGTAGGTGACTGATAACCAAGGGGCCTTTTCCAAGAGCTCAGCCATGCATTTCCTCCCAGCAGCATCAGAATGCCTTGCCTGGGGCATGGAGGAGTGCTTGAAAGCTTTATTTTGATTTAAAGCTGCGTTTCTGATCCAATTCCAATCTAAAGCTGGACAGTCTCAGAAAAAGGAACAAGCACCACTTGTCTCCAGGAAAAAGGGAAGGTTCCCTGGGTGAGCAAATTGGAATAATTTCATTCCAAGGAATAAAACCATTGACATGAGAGAATCAAACTCATGTTGAAACAGAGAATGAGAGCTGAGGATCCATCTGCAGGCAGCACCAATTTATTAATTTCCCCAATTTCTTCCTTTCTTTATGAGGTTGTGCCCGTTCTTAGGTGGGAATGGGATTTGGGATGGGGATCCCTGCCGCAGGAGGGACATCCTGGTGTTCCCTGGCTGTGCTCAGGGGTTGGGTTTGGCTGAGGGCTCAGAACTGCTGAGTTTGCTGCTCTCAGGATGCCTCTGAGCTCTGCTGCTGCTGCTTTTGTCTCCAGTCCAAGGCCTTGTTTTGGGCATGGAGGAGTGTTTTGAAGCAGTTATTTTGATTTAAAGCTGCATTTCTGGTCCAATTCCAGTCTAAAGCTGAGCAGTGCTTTAGATTGCGCCACTTGTCACCAAGAAGAAAAGATTCCCTCGATGAGCAAATTGATTGTCAAAGGAATAAAACCATTGGAATTAGAGAATCAAACTGATGTTTAAACACAAAATGTTTGAGAGGTGATGATCGGGCTGCAGGCAGCACCAATTTATTAATTTCACCAATTTCTTCCTTTCTTAATGAGATTGTGCCCTGGGAACTGGATTTGGGATGGGGATCAGTGCTCCAGGATGCCCCTGAGCTCTGCTGCTGCTGCTTTTGTCTCCAGTGCAAGGATCACAGAGCGTGGGGCTCTGCCAGGGTGGCAAGGGATGGGACAAAAAGGGATTTCATGTGTGATTAACGAGCAGAAAAGAGAGTCCCAAAAGCTGCAGATGAAGCAGAGTAGGAAATGGAGCTGGGATTTGTGCTGCCATGGCCTGGGAGCAGCACTGGTGCCTTGTGTCCTTTGCTGGTCACCAATATCCCTTGTGAAAGCTGCCCTAGAACAGGGGCTGGACAGAGTTAAAGAATAAAATAGGGATTTATTATTTTGGGGTTGTTTTATTATTATTATTATTATTATTATTATTATTATTATTATTATTATTATTATTATTTAGACCATATAAAATATATAATATATTTTTATATAAATATATATTATATAAATGTATTAGATCTATTATATTTATATAGTAGATATATTTATAAAAATATATATTTATAAATATATACATATAAATATTAAAATATATATACATATAAATATATACATATATATATATATGTAATACTATTATTTTCCTTAATGGGGCATTTTTTGTGTGCTAGACTGAATTTTTTCATGCTGCTCAGGATGAGTTATAAACCCACCCGTATTTCAGGATGGATTATAAACCTCCCCAGTCCTGCAGAGGCAGCAAAGATTGGAGGAAGTTGGGTTGGATTTATTCCTTCAGAACTTGTTTTTTTCCTGCCTTCTCAGCCATCAGCTGCTTCCAAATTTCTCCTGGTTTAGTGCATTTTGTGAGCTCCTTTTGCAGATGATGTTGACAAGGGTTTCTGCTCAGCAATCAGCTGAAACATCTGGGTCTGACCTGCCTGATGAATTGCAAATTGCCTTTTCCACACTAACACCCATAAAATTGCAGGGCTTATCTGCCTCTATTTGCTGCTAATTACTGCAGGAGTTTTATGTAAATCTCACTGGAAGTTAATTGTTCCCTTTCGAATTCTTTAATATCCCATTCACTGGGACTTAACACATAATTGCACACAAATCTTCCAGGGATGGCAAACTTGGGTCTTTACCTTTTAGAAACATATTTTTTATATATATATATGTAATTTTTATATATATTATATGTATATATATCAAATATATATATATATGTATATCAATATATACATATATATATATAATTTATATATATTATGTTTTTATATATGATATATAAAAATATATAAAATAATACAAAATATAGAAAATATAAAATATATTATAAAGATATAAAAATAAATCTTATAATTTTATATATAAATATAATTTTATATTAAACATATAAACTATAAATATATAGAGATATAATATTAATTATATATAATATAATTATATATAATATATAAAATATATGTATAAAATATATAAACTTTCAATATGTTCTTTTATATCTTTTAATATATTATGATACAGAAAATACAATACAAATTATTTAATATAGAATATATTATATATTGTATTAATAAATATAAAAATATAATTATATATAGATAAAATTAGTATATTATATATAAATATATAATTATATATGTACACACACTCTTTTTTTTTGTGTTTCAGCCAGGGTTATTTACTTATCTGTTTTTGGTTTGTTTGTTTGTTTTTTTTTTTTTAATGGGCCTGAGCTTTTTTTGTCCCCAGTGCTATTAAATGTGTGTCAGCTGCTGGGAGACAGTTGGGATTCTTGCACAAACCCATCTGTGAGGATTTTGTGCTCCTGGAAATCACTGCAGCATGTTTCACAGCCCCAGCACACGTGTAAAAAAAATTCAATGTACACAGCCCCAGCGCATGTGTAAAAATGGGAAAATTGAGATTGCTGTGCTCCTGGAAGTGACTGCAGTGAGTTTCACAGCCTCAGCACTAAATGTAAAAATGGGAAAATTCAGTGTACCCAGCACAGCTGAGCCTCCTCTTCCCCCCACCTCTCCCTCCTGACTGAGCCTGTGGCTACTTTGAAGTTTCCACCAGGGCTGACGTGGGGAAATGTGAGATTTTCATCTTTTTTAATGCCATTTGAATCCTTCTATTTGTCAGAGGTGGGAACTTTGATCTGGGTGTCATCTGCAGGACTGATTTCCATAGGGGAAAATCTTCCAGGGAGGATCTGCAGGTCTGGATTAGTGGTGAATTAAAGTCCCTGCTGCTAATTAGCTATTTCAACTTCCTCCCTTCCCTCCTGTGTCCTGCTTGTTTTCCTCCTCCACAGCTCAGATCTCCTTCCTTTGATTTCAGCCTGGGTTTGTTTTTTCCATTTTTGTTTTTTTCTTGTGTGTTTTTGGTTTTGTTTTTTTTTTTTTTTTTTGCTGGTGTTGTTGTGGTGGTGGTGTTTTTTAAGTATGAAATAATTTGGGACAGAGCTGCTTTTTCCTAGGTTCGTTTGCAAGGAATTCTTTTAATTCCTTTAAAAATCCTTTTTTTTTTCTTTTAAACTGGTTGATCTTTAGTTTTTTTGACAATACAGAGGCTATCATTAATTGTGTGTCAGAATTCTTAATTAACTACAGTAAATGCATTTACACAAACACATCTTCTGCCAGAAATAGCTGATATTGTCCTGTTTTTGTAACATACAACACAAAATATAATTTTTCTCTGAGAATCATTTGTTTGGAGTTTTCTGGGACTGCTTACCTGAATGAAATTCTTAATGCAGTTTTGCTTTTTGCCTTTTTATTTTTGGGCCTTAACTGGGCAATTTGAAAAAAAAAAAGTGGAAGAAAATATTTTTTTACAATAAATATTTTTCTGTTCTTTGGGGGAAAAGTGGAATGGTGGAAGCTGGGAGTGTGGCAGGAATTGGTTTGTGGCTGCTGCCAGCTCTGTTATCGCTGTTTCTTAGGAAGGATTTGCACCATCTGGGAACAATTCCTTGCCTGGCTGCTGGGAATGTGCAGTTCCCCATTGGCTGGCAGTGATGTCACTGCGTTCTGGGAGGTTTTCCCTGCTTTTTCCTCCCCGTTATCTGGGTGCCAGCAGATAATTCTTGTCCTGTTTGTACATCAGCTTTTTCCAGCCTCTATTTGCAATTATAATGAACTCCGTGGTGGGGCAGAACCATTTGACAAGGGCAGCACAGGAGCTTCAGGGCTGGGAAATGAAAAAATAAAAATGCTCAGAGCTGAAGCAGGGAATAAAAATCCCCAGGAGCAGAATCTTGGATGAAATGAGCTGATTTCAGGGCCAGTCTCTTCACACTTTATATAAACCCTCACTCATCCCAAGCCTCATCTCAGCACAGACAATTTTTCCTTGCTCAAATAAAAATCCTTTTGCTGATGAGGTTTTAGCAGAGCTGGGGAGTCCTGGTGCCTTTGAGGGAATTCCTGGTGGAGCACAGGAATTTTTTTGCAATTCCTTTTCTGCAATTGCTCCTTTGGGAACAGCCTTGTGTGGATAATGGGGCACAGCTCTGAAGCTTTGACTTGGGATTTGAGCTGCCTCTGACTTGATGGGAAAATTATTTCCAGCTCAAAGATGAATGTGGCTGTTGGGAAGTTGCTGTCAAAAATATAAACGGCTCTTTTGGGTATTTCTTTAGTCACTGGGATGCCTTGGGAAGGCTGAGCTAGAGCAGAGTTAAAGAATAAAGCAGGGATTTATGAAGTTTCTCCTCAATGGATCCACCTTGGGCAGCACAAGAGCTCAGCCAGGGCTGCACCTGAGATGAACCCAAAATGGTCCCAAAATGAACCCAAAAAATGGATGATGGGTCACAAAATAATAAGTTTTAGTCCATTTGCATCTTGGAGTGAATTGTCCCATTCCAGCTTTAGCCCCTGCAGTCCCATCCTTGTTTTTCTCTCTCCAGCCCACGTTGTTTGTGCTCCTGGGCTGAGATTTGGATCATTTGTCCTTGGTCCCCAGCTGGAGCAGGAATTGTTTTGTCTCCCTGCTCTGTGCACAGAGCTCACCATCCCATAATGTGAAGCCCAGACCCACCCACTAAAGCAGCACAGAATGTGAAAAATAGAAAATCCAAAACCTGAGGCATCACTTGGGATCAATCCCTCACAAGGCTCTCCCTGAGCTCAGAGAAACACCAAGAGCTGCTGCTGTTCCTCAGTGGGAGTTTCAATATTGTACTTTTGCTGCTGATAAATTAATCAATTTTAGCCAAATGAGATTTGAGATATGGGATTTAGGATAATTCCCAAGTACTCGGCAGAAGAATTCCTGGTGCTTGCAGGAATTCTGTGCCCATCCAGGCTGGTGTTTTCACGTGGAACCTGAATTTAACCCGAATTTAACCTGATTTTCTGCCGGTTTGGCAGGAATCCCTGCACTTCCCTTCAGATCCTGGAAGTTTGGCTGTACACTTGGAGAAGCTGGTGGGATTTTGAGGATGTAATTTTGTGTAATTCTGTGGTTTTTTTCTGTTGGCAGCTGGTCCTGGCTGAGAGCTCCCACTCTGACACAGGCTCCCAATGCACCGAGAGCCACGTGGAGCTGCCCCCAGCCCTGGAGAGGACAGGAGGCATCGGAGACTCCCGGCCCCCCTCCTTCCAGTAAGCCCCAATTTATTCATCAGATTCTCATTTAGCAAATTGATTTATCAAATTCTCATTCCCATCTATTTCTCACCCTCATTTTCCTTCCTGCTCCAAGCCAGCTGTTTGTTGTTGTGAGCATAAAAATCAAATATTGAGGAGTTAAAAGGGAGATGTGACTGAAAACCCCCTGTCATTGTTAAGAGTGAAATATTTATCCAAAATATCTCATTTTCCAGCCTGCTGTGGATGAGTTAAGTAGGGAGGGAGCCCAAAATGCTTTTTGCAGTGATTAGTGTGTTCTGTGTAATTAGGGAGGCTGCAGAGCCAGCTGAAGGCTGCTGGCAGCAGGGAGAATTTCCACCAGGAATAATAATTCTGATTCCATAATAATTCCAATTCCATGGCCATCCAGAGGCTGCCAGCGCCAGCTGTGGCTGGGAATATCTGCTTTGATATTCTTATTTCCTCTTCCTGATCCTTAGATATCTTCATTTTCCAGGGAATTTCCACCAGAAAAAAATTCCTCCTTCCACCAGGGGGATTTAAAGCAGGGCCTTGTGCTCTTAGGCTGTGTTTGGAGAAGGAAATATGGCCTGGATTTGCCTTTTTTTCCATTTTGTTTTTGGGATGGAAGTTGCCTTGGAGAGCTCTCAGTGTTATGAGTCTTTTTAAAATAAACCTCTTAGAGGACAAGAAATGCTGGGAAATCCTGGCAGTGCCTTGCTAAGGCTGTGCTGCCCTCCTGTGTTCTGATCTGGCCAGAAAATAAAACCAGGCTTTTGTCTTTCCTGGCCTAAACCTGCCTGGCACAGCTGCAAGCTCCAGCTTTGTTTAAAAAGAGAATTAGCTGATAATTAGGCCCGAGGTTTGTGGGTCCAATGCCCTGCTGGTCCTCCTGCTTTGTTTTTTTCCCTTCATTTTTTGCTTTACCACTGATGAAATCCAAATAAAACTTCTTTTGTTTCCCCCTTTATTTTTTGCTTTCCCATTGATGAAACCAATATATATATTGAATATTATAATTAATTAGATATAAAATTTATATATTATAAAATATATATTATATGTTATGTATTATATTATATATAATATATATAATATATGTAATATATTATATGGTTTATATAGTATAATTTAATAATTATTAAATAATCTAATCATTAATTTAATTGCTAAATTAATGGGCTCAGCACTGGGGGAAAAGGTAGCTGGGTTGTTTTTTTTTTTGTTTTGCACCCTTTTCAATGGTGTAAATCCCATTTTGGAGGCTGGTTTGAGTGAGGATCCTGAGCAGGAGTCAGCAGATGGAGCTGCTGGGATGGCCAAGAGTGACCTGAGCCACCTGTGTGTCACCTCTTCCCTTTGCCAGCTGTGCTGCACTCAACAAGAAATGTTAAAAAAATCTGTGTGGCAGCACTGAAATCCCCCTGGCATTTTGGTAGGGAGTAAAATATGTCCCCTTGGTAGGGATTAAAATGTCCCCCGAGATGTTTTCCTGAAGGACAACCTTGATATCCTCATGGCTGTGGTGGGCACGTCAGCCGTCGCATCTGTGCTCAGGGAGTGGGGTGGGCAGGAGTTCTGAAATGGGGAAATAGCTTCACCCTCAGGTGCTTTGGGGTTCTCTTTTCACCCCTCAGGTGGGTTTTTATTATCTTTTCACCTCTCAGGTGGTTTTGGGTTGTCTTTTCACCCTCAGGTGTTTTTTGGGTTCTCTTTTGCCCCTGGAGGTGGTTTTTGGGCTCTCTTTCCCCCCTGAGGTGTTTCTGGGGTTTCCCATCAGCCTGGGCCAGCGTGCAGCGCTCACCCTCAGCAGTTCTGCACCCTCTGCCCCGAGCTGCTCCCGGCTGGAGCTGCCTGGGCGGGAAGGGCACCGCCAGAATAACGCAGTGATTGTCCCCTGTGCTCTGTGCCAGCCCCAACGCTGCCAGCAGCAGGGATGGCCTGGACAACGAGACAGGAACCGAGTCCATGCTCAGCCACCGGCGCGAGCGGCACCGGCGCAGGAACCGCGAGGGCCACGAGGACGGTGAGTGCCTCCTCGTCCTCCCCTCCCTCATCTTCCTCACGGCTCCCGGAGCAGCAGCTCCTCTGTGGGGTTTGTGAGGGCCCCCAGGATGAGGTGAGAGAGGAGAATCTGGCTCTGTATTCTCAGAAGGCTGATTTATTATGATATGAGATGATGTTATATAACATGATATGATATATTTTATTCTCTATTCTATATTCTATTCTCTATTATATTCTCTTATATATTTTTATTTTATATTATATATTATTTCCTTTTATATTATATTTTATTTCATTTTATATTATATTTTATTTTATATTATATATTCTATTCTCTTATATTAATGATGTTATGTTGCATGATGTTATACGATACTAAAACTATACTAAAGAATACGAAAAGGATACAGACAGAAGGTTTAACAAGAATGAATGATAAAGACTCATGGCTGACTCCTCAAAGTCTGACCCAGGTGATGGTGATTGGTCATTAATGAAAAACAATTCAATGAAGCCAATCAAACATGCACCTGTTGGTAAAGGATCTCCAGCCACATCCCAAAGCAGCAAACACAGGAGAAGCAATCAGATAATTATTATTTACATTTTTCTCTGAGGCCTCTCAGCTTCCCAGGAGAAGAAATTCTGTTGAAGGGATTTTTCAGAAAATATCACGGTGACACTCCTGCTCCTCCTCCTCCCCAAGAGACTCCTGGCTGCATTCCTGCCAGCTTTCAGGGACTCTTCATTATTATTTTAATGCAATAATTTGATAATTGCTCTGAAACTCTTTGAAGCTCAGCGTTTTTGCCAGAAACACTCCACAGTGAAGTGGCAGAGAGATTGTTTCTGACAATGTGCAGAACTTTGTGTAGCATGAGAAGATGAATGGCTTGGCTGTTGATTTCTCAAGGTTTGGATCAGCTGTGGTGTTTTCTGCTGGTGTAACATAGGCTCTGAAGATCTTTTTTTTTTCTTAAATGCGCCCAAAGTGCACTTATAAAATGCAGAACTCCATCTCTTGCCTCTGGTCTGTACATCAAAGGAAGCTTGGGTTTTTCATTCATTGCCAGACAAGAATTTCCAGGCTTAATTAAGAATTAATAGGTGCCACCCGTTGGGTTTAAAATGGTGCAGAATTTGGAATACTTGGGCCCAAGAAATGCCATCACAGCCTTTATTCACAACTCCTCCCACCAAAGCATTTGCCTCCAGTTAGAAATCAGATTTCTATTGAGGGATTCTGTTCGTTTAACCCTTGCAGAGTGTCATTGATGAGGAGTGAATGGAAATCCCTCAGTGGGAGGAGCACGGAGCTGTCTGTGCATGATCCTGACTGCAGATTGCTTTGGGAACTGACAGAAATAGGCAGAATCCTCTCACAGTGTTGATTAAAAACTTGTTGCAGGAAGAATGTGAAAAGGGGAGTTGTTTTAAGCATGAAATCAGTGCCAGGGCATGTTTTGCTCTGGATATTTTTGGCATAAGAGCTGGTGTTGGTGGATGGAATTGTGTGAGCATTGGAGTGGTCTGAAACCAATTCATGCATTTCCCTTGAGAAGGAAATGGGATTAAATTTCCTCCTTTTACCAAAGCCCAGGCAAGAACCTTACTACAGTCACAAACATTACTTTTCTCTGAATTTAGGCCTTCTGCCTGCAGCAGGTGAGTTCTGTTAGTGTGCATAGAGCAAGGAGAGCTGCTTTAAAAGACATTATTCAATGTCCATGGTGTTTCTGTGGTCATAACAATATTTCATTTAGCAACAACAACGTGCAGTACAATAACAACACCAGGAGTGTGTTGTTTTCAGTGGAAAGTAAATGTAAAAGGCACAGTTCAGCTCTGTGTCCTGAATTGCCACTTGACAACACTGAAAGAAGTGAAATACCCAAAACCTGGGAAGGATTTTAAGCCCTTTTCATAACAATGATCACGGTCACTCTTTTCTTGCACCTGCAAGAAAGTCTTGTGTGGATGGAAAATGGGGGAACAGCCTTAGGAGAAGGGGGACAAGGATGGGGAAAGGGCTGTGACACCTGGATGCAGCTGCTGTGTGCTGGGAAAATCCTCCCTGAAATGCAGTGAGAGTGTTTGATGTACTCCTGCAGGGACTCGTTTGAAATGCCCAAATGACAGCCCTGCTGCTTGGCAGAGGGATCTCTGCAGCTCTCTGTTACTCACAGCTTTGTGCCAGAGGATTTATTCCAGAGGCACAGGAACAGCTCACCCCAGCTGGACAATTTGGAAGTGTTTGGTACAAAGAATCACCCACCCTGGCAAAGAGGATTTCCCTGGGTTCCCTCAAGGGAAGGGAGTTCTTGTTCCACAAGAAAGCAGGAGCAGGGTGTTGCAGCCTTCATTTCAAACAGGTGAAGTGAGAAAAGGTGTGAAGGAGCCATTTGGGAACAGAAACACTGAGCTGCAACCTGAACAGGTCAAACAGGCTGAGCCCAGAGCACTGGAATTGAGAGGTTCCACAGAATGAAGGTTGGGAAAACTCCAACACTAAACAAAGATTTTTTGTGCTTCTCTCCATTTTAATTTACAAAAGTTGCTTCCTAACTTTACTAGAAAACATTGCCAGCTTTGAAGTGCAGCAAGATCCTTGCAGAAGTTTGGTTTGGATTTGGGGTGAGGAGAATTCCCCAGATTCTCCAGGGATAATGAGCAGTGTGGTACCATGGGTGGGTTGTTCAGCACGGCTGCCTGGATGTTTCCCTTCATTTGTGCAGGGTTACTCACCCCAAAAAAGCTGATTTTGCTGAATTCCACACACAGAGTGATAAATATTGATTGCAGCTGGAGGGTGTGGGACACACTTGGGTGATCTGACAGTGTTTTCACACCTCTTCCCATTGAAAATCCAGAAGGATTTGGGGTATCCCTAAGTTCTTCCACCCCTTTCCCTTAAATTGCATTCCTGTTTTAACTGCATAGACAATTAATCTCCATCTGTGCTTGTATATTCTCTGATTTTAAAATAATCCCCACAAAGATGGTGCCTTGAGGAATGGAATAAAACTCCTTTTTTGGAGCTGTGTGACACTGCAGATACAAACATCAAGAAAACCTTGAGGAAAACCGATCTGGAAAAAAAACATCAAGATGTCAGAGCTCCCAACAAAAGTCCTCATTGCTTTGGGAGGTTGACAAAGTTCTTATTAAGTGAAAGTAGAGTGAGGATCTTAATTGGGGTGGTGGGAGGTCTGCCTGGCACATGTGCTGGGGACCCCTGGCTGGGATGAACAAAGCTGCCGTGTCAGTTTGTTGAGCAGGAGCGGGAAAGGGGACTGTGGGAGCTCTAATTAGGGAGGTAATTAAGGGACAAGTGGGTTTTTTTGGATGTTGAGGAATGTTTTATAGCTGCTGCTGGGCTCCTGACAAGTCTGCAGATGTCAATGTCAGTGCTGAGGTTTCAACACCCACTTTGCTGTGGGGTGAATTTAACTCTTGAGCAGCCACTGAGAAATGCTGGAGAACCCTTCATGTGGGCAGGCTCACAGATCCCCAATGTTTGGGAAGAGGAGTTGCTGCAGATTCCCCCTGGCTGCTGCAATATGTGGAGTTTTAACTGTGATTTGTGACTGCAGGAGGGCTGGGACTGCAAAACAGCTGGGGTGGGAATGTTGGGCCTGACTGGGGTGGAGGGGCTGTGTGGGGCTGTGTGAGGATCCAAAGGAACTTCAGTCCCAAGGCAAGTCAGGGCACAGGGATGTGCCCATAAGGCAGGATTTCTAATAATAAAGTGCTTTTCAGACCTTCTGATATCACCTTTGTCTGTCCCCTTCATGTCAATATATACCCCTTCATGTCAATTATTTATCCTTTTTCTTTCTTGGTTTCTATGTCAACCTTGGTAGGAAATTCTTTCAGGGGATAAACATGGATCCTCTTCTCAAACTTCTCTCTGGCTCACAGAATTGACTGTAAAACCTCTCCTACATCTCCTGCTGTGGTGCCACAACCCCCCTGCAGCCACATTTCTCTTCACAGAGAAAAGCAAGGCACAACTTCCCAAGAATATTTCTGGGATTCACATTCTCTGAACCTCAGAGAAAGGAAAAACAGTTCTTATCTCATTTGCTGTGCCTGTGTTTGTGCAAAAGTAGAATGCAAGATGGAGATTGTTTACCCAGGCTGATGGAGTTTTGTTTCCTTGGCCTGTCAGGGCCAGTTGTGTGTGTGAGGACCGTTGGGTGATAGTCACCAGATGAGTGCAGTTGAATGCTTGAATGCTTGGCAAATTCAGTTTAGATGTAATGGAATATAGTATAATATCATATAGAATAATATAGTATATAATAATATACTATTTATATATACATATATATAAATAGTATATTATAGTATGTATATATATATAATGTACTATAATAATATAATATGGAATAATATAGTATAATAAATTATATTAATTAATCTTCTGATATCAGTGGAATCCTCCTCATCATTTCCTCTACTTCATCAGGGGCAAAAATATCTGCAATACCCCCCTGTTCTGTAACACTCCTTTCCTGTGCCCTGCAGCCCCCAGGATCAACGGGCACCCCAAGCTGGAGCGGCACCGGGAGCACCCCCCTGGCTACGACAGCTCCTCCACCATGCTGAGCAGCGAGCTGGAGTCCAGCAGCTTCATCGACTCTGAGGATGATGACAACACCAGCAGGTACAGCCCTGCCAGGGACACAGCTCTGGGCACCTTCTTGGGCTCCTCTTCTCTTTTTTTCTTTTTTTTTGGGGGGGGGGGGGGTGTTTTGGTGGGGTTTTTTTTGTTTGTTTGTTTGTTTGGGTTTTTTTGGGGGGGGTTGTTTGTTTTTTTGGGGTTTTTTTGGTTTTGTTGTTGTTGTTGTTTTAAATTTTCCTTTCATTTCTTTTGTGATTTTGATGCCTTGAGAGAGCTGTCCTAGAACAGAGACCAGACAAAGAATAAAGCAGGGATTTATGAAAAGTTTCTCCTCAATGGATCCACCTTGGGCAGCACAAGAGCTCAGCCAGGGCTGCACCTGAGATGAACCCAAAATGGTCCCAAAATGCACAGCTGGGCACAGGGTCTCTCACTTTGATCAGTTCTGCTCCATTGGCATCTTGGAGTTCATTGTCCCATTCCAGCTTTAGCCCCTGCAGTCCCATCCTTGTTTTTCTCTCTCCAGCCCACGGGGTTTGTGCTCCTGGGCTGAGATTTGGATCATTTGTCCTTGGTCCCCAGCTGGAGCAGGAATTGTTTTGTCTCCCTGCTCTGTGCACAGAGCTCACCATCCCATAATACGAAGCTCAGAACTACACACTAAAGCAGCACTAAAGCATGTGAAAAATAGAAAAGCCAAAACCTGAGGCATCAGTACAGAATCTGAAAAACAGAAATGCCAAAACCTGAGGCATCACTTTGAGCACGGGTTGTTCATCAGTGCCATTGCTGTGTGGAATCACTGCTCAGTTTTTGGGTCCAGGATCTGGGCCAAATATATAATTCTATGAATTATACCTATAAGTTATATCTAAAGATATTTTTGTTTTTCTTTAAGAAGTCTTTACCTCTGTTATTGGGTCCAAACCACTGCTCCAGTTGAAAGAAAAGCTCTGCTCCTCTCCTTTTCATAGCAACAATGGCCACATTTCCAGATCAAAGCACTCTGCCTACCTATTTATAAAGCAGTGGTGTGAATATGAAAACAAAATACTGTCAGCAGAGGTTCCTAATAAGTGTGCACTTCACTGGAGCTCAATTACAGAGGAATTCCTGGGTAATTGCATAGTCTGAGACCTATGAGCAGTTCAGGAATTCATCAAAGTTAATGCTGCTGCAAAGGCTGCCATGGATTTGTGGCTTCTTCATTATTTCATTCTTTTTGTGTAGGCAGAGTGTGTGAATTATTCCCTACTTGAAAAATACCTCTCATTTCAAGACATCTTTGTTATATCCAAAGATGTTTTTGTTTAAGAAGTCTTTAAGCCAATACATTTCATGGGTTTGAAATACTTATTTTCATGGATGTAAAACCAATCTAAAGTATTTTCCTTACTTTTCCTGGCCACATTCTGTGGAATATTCTTCATTTTCCTGGCCACTGGCTCTAGAGCTGTTGTTCATCCCAGTGGACTCTGAAAATCCAGAGGATTTGTCTGAGGACAACAGAGTGACAGATCTCTGGTGGGTCACAGTGATCTGCAGCTAACACAAATAAGGCAGAATGTGGTAATTTTAATAAAACCATGATATTTTTAATAAAAACAGAAAAAAGCAACTACTCCTGGAGATCCTGAACCCCTTGCTGTGCTTACAAACATGATCAGCTTTTGGGTCTTGGTGGATCTGTTGGGTCTTGCAGCTGGTCAGGGTTTAAAGACCTCACAATTCTAATTAAAGGCTGAGAGTTCCCAAAGGGCTGAAAGGGTAACTAAAATCCACATTACAGATTTAGTCTTGAATTAGTTTCAAGAATTTATTTTGTACTCCCAGTGAAGTGCAGGGTGTCCCTGTACATGGCAGGTGTTGGAATAAGATGAGTTTAAGGCCTCTTCCAACCAAAACCATTCCATGATGAGATATAAAAAATCACTTTTCTGGATATTTCCCCGCATGGAGGGATGGTCCTTAACCCCGAATACACCCAAAGCTTTCAGGGCTTTGAGCCCTCCCCCAAAACCTGGAGCCCACAATAACAACAACAACAAAACCCTGCAGATGATTTGTGTTTCTTGTAAATAAATGAATAATTTCCATGGCAGCCAGCAATGCAGCGGGGCAGGATTAGCTCAGGGTGGCCACATTAGAACAGACTCAGCGAAATCTCACTGTATGAATAAAATAATAATAATAAAACTTCCTGAGTCTGACCTGAGAAGAAAGAGATTCTTGGAAGCTGCCGCTCCTGCCTTTCCGTCTGGAGGCTGGGCAGGAGTTTTTGGCACAGGAGGAGCTGCCAGGCCAGCTAGTCAGGAAGAACCACTGCAGGAATGCTCCAAGGTATGCTGCTGTGTTCCAGGGGTGGTGATGATGTACTCAGGCACAGGAGACTTGGTGCTGGCAGGGAGAAGTTTTCTGTAGAGGCAAATCAGGCAAAGAGCAAATGGAGAAGGTTCCAGAGCTGCTGGAGGCACCAGCCTGGGGACAGAGGAGGGATCTGAGGGGTGAGTTTGGCTCCTGAGGGGCACATCCCCTGGGGACAGAGGAGTCTGAAGGGTCAGTTTGGTTTGTGACAGCTGATGGACACATCCTCTGGGGTCTGAGGGGTCAGTTTGGTCCCTGAGGGATGCACCAGTGTGGGGACAGAGAGGTCAGTTACGTCCCTGGTGGACACAGAGGGGTCAGTTTGGTTCCTGATGGACACAGAGGGGTCACTTTGGTCCCTGGTGGACACAGAGGGATCAGTTTGGTCCCTGGTGGACACAGAGGGATCAGTTTGGTTCCTGATGGACACAGAGGGGTCAGTTTGGTCCCTGGTGGACACAGAGGGGTCAGTTTGGTCCCTGGTGGACACAGAGGGGTCAGTTTGGTCCCTGGTGGACACAGAGGGATCAGTTTGGTCCCTGGTGGACACAGAGGGGTCAGTTTGGTCCCTGGTGGACACAGAGGGGTCAGTTTGGTCCCTGGTGGACACAGAGGGGTCAGTTTGGTCCCTGGTGGACACAGAGGGGTCAGTTTGGTTCCTGATGGACACATCCCCTGGGGTATGAGGGGTTGGCTCCTGGACTCTGGTGGGGTCTGGTGCTTTGTGGGGAGGCTGTCAGGGAGGAGGCTCTGAGGCAGGAAATGAGAGGGAAGGGATGTTGCTGTCCTGGAAGGGAAGAGTTTGTGAGCTGAGGATGCTTTTCTGCGTCTGTTTGGTTTTATTTGAACTCAGAGCAGTGGAACAGAGCTGGGTAATTCCCAGCCCAAGAAAGCTCTGTTGCATTCAGTTAAAGAATAAAGTCATGTTTTGGTGAATTAACCTGTTCACAAACATTCCAGGACAGTGCAGAGTGACAGTGGAAGCACAATCATTTATTTCCTTTTTCTTCCAAGTGTTTGACAATTTTTTAACAACTTTTTTTTTTACAAATTAAACGTTTCTGTTGTTAGCAGGTAGGATTTTGAGCACAGGTTGATGTAGGGAACTTAACAGTAAAAGGTTTTTTCTGTCTTCTCTAAAGTAAAGATTTAACAAATCTAACATCTGTAGCTGTGAGATTATTGTCAGCAATTGCTGCTCTCAGTTCAATGCAGCTAAAGGAATTCACTGCAAAAAATATTTTTATTTTTCATTTAAGAAATTACCATAATTTCTTTTTAAGCCATGTGGATAAGCTTTCTTTAACAAATGTTGCCTTTTTTCCCCTGTCCTTTGAAAATTGTAGAATGGAGAAAAAAGTATTGCTATTATTATTATTACAGTATTTTTAAAAATCTCTTCTGTGGTATTTATTGACATTTGTACTAGAAGTGCAGTCATGGTTTTTGAGCAGTAGCTGGTGCAGGAAATTAATTGGCAGTGATAATTCCAGATTTATTTTTCATCTTTGCACTTTATTTGTCTCAAAAGCTCAAATTTACCATCTTGTCTTGCTCATCAGATTGTAATAATAACAACTTTTACCCAGTATTTCTGGAGATGCTTCAGAGAGCAAAATATTCCTCATTAGAGGAGGTTTGAGCTGCTTTTTAGCATCCAGATGCTCCCAGAATATTAAGGATTCAACAAGGATGCATTAAGGCTGTGGATTGAGCAGAAATCACAAGGAGAGATGATGAAAATAGGTGTAAAAATGTTCCTGCAGAGCCTTCTGATCAGCAGTTTTGTGCAGCTGGTAATAAATTTTTAAAAATTTACTTTTAGTTTTTCCCTGAAATGTTTTGTGTCCCCCTTGAACTAAACCTGAGCTTTTCTCAGGGGCTGATTCTCATCCTTCCATCCTAATACTGAGCAGAATGGCAAAAATACAACAAGTAAAACTTCACTTCTCAGATGTTATGACCTGCTAACAGGAGCTCAGGGATTTGGCAAGAAAGTCTGGTTTTGCTGGTTTAATTTTTAGGGAGCAGGCAGCTTCACTGTGGAGTGAGTGCCTTGGATTTCCTCAGATTCTCCTAAAGGGGGAAATTGTAGCTGAGGGAAGAGGAGGAGAAGGAAATGGGAGAGGAAGCAGGAAGGGGGAGAATATTGGCAGCAAAATAAAAGAGGAGGTTTTTGTGTCAATCTTTGATGAATATTGAACAAGCCCAGTTTTGGGAACACTGGGTTTGACACCTCCTTATTTTTCCTGTTGGAAGGCAAAACCTCCCAACCCCAGATGCTGTGTGAGCTGTTTTACCAACCAGAAATCATCACATTTTGGATATTTTTTTAATAAAATCCCACGTCTTGGCTCTTCAATTCCCCTTGCTGGGAGGGGAAGGAGGAGTGTGTGAGGTTAACATGCCTGAAATATTTGTGTGAGCTCAAGGGAATGTCAGGAGATTCACACCCTCTGAGCAGCTCCAGGGCTGATACTTGATAAAAATATTTCAGGCCAGAGGGGTTTCCTGTGGGCAATTCCTTTTTGGAATTGCTGGCATCAAGTTTTTGAGGTATTGTCACATTCCTGCATGTGGCTGGAACATGGAATTCAGGGATGTGGAAATTGGGGGGAAAAGCCTGGCAATGTTTGTTTTGTGTATAATGTTGGAATTTTTAATCTTGGTTAATGATGGAGCATTGCCATTCTTACATATTAAATAGAGGAGAGATGTCTCTCTGGTGTTATAGTGATATTTTAATAGTCTGGGCTTTGTTCCAGGCTCCTGAAATTAATTTGGGCAAATCCATTTCTGTCTCATTCTGTTCTCTGTAAAGTGAGGATGGTTAATGCTCCAAACTCTTATTAAAGACCTTAAAGATTTATATGTAAAATGTGGCACATTTAGGTTCTGCAAGTTTGGAGAGCCTGGAAAAAAGCAGCAAAATAAAACTTAACAGAATATGTGAAGGTAAATCATACTCACTGTCCCCCTGTTACCAATTTCTATTTGATTTCTTTAAATTCAAGCCTTGAATTCCTGGTAACAGTGGAAGAAAATTCAGCACCATGCCAGGACTCACAAAAATGAGCACTACGGGTTGCACTCAGACCTGCTCCCAGGAGAAAACAAGCGCTAAATTAAACAGTAATTAAATTATTCATCTGATCCCTGCTGTCCTTGAGCTGGAATCTCCTGCTGAGCTGTGTGTGTGATTTCCCCTGTCCTGCTGCTGCAGGAATCAGCTCCTGTGGGTGGCAGAGCCTCTCAGGGGTGACATTTGTTGTCCTTGCCCTCAGGTTGAGCAGCTCCACGGAGCAGAGCACCTCGTCCCGCCTCATCCGCAAGCACAAGCGCCGGAGGAGGAAACAGAGGATGAGGCAGATTGACAGGGTAAGGCTGGCACCAGCAGCACCCAGGGAGCTGAACTGGGAGTTCTGAGTGGAGCTCTTGGCTCAGGAAGGGATCCAGGACCGGTCTGTGCCTGTTGAATTCACTGGGAAGGTTCCCTGTGGCTCCAGGCTGGGCTTAATCTCTGCATTTGATGTTCTGCGGCTCCAGAGTGAAGCTTTCACCTCTCCCGTTCTCCTTTCACTGTGCAGTGATCCCATTTCTTGTCTTTTCCAAGATAAATCTCTGCAGGAGAAGCTCCATTATGGTGTGGGAAGGGATGTGAGATCCCCTGAGACCTGCTGGGAGGAGAAATCCAAGTTCACAGGAAATCCCAAATCTTTCTCTCTGCCCTTCCCTGTGCCAGTCCTGGGCAGCAGGATGGGGGTGACCCCACAGACAGACCCTGAAATATCTGTTTTATTCTCCCATAAATCTCAGTCTCCACATGTGAAAGAATGACCTCACACACATTTTATCACAGGATAGTGTTTCAGAAGGTCTTTGCTAAGCACCTTTGTATTTCATTTTGGACGCAGGGCAGTGTCTCTCCTCTCCCCTCCTTCTGGATCATGTGCTGTTCCCTCCTCCCTTTAGGGAGGAGCTGTGGGTGCAATAATTCACACTCCACTGGGCACTTTAGGATCCAAATGTTTGCCTGACAGTCACAGCCAGGAAGCAGAAATAATTCCAGGAGAAGTTCAGATGAGAAACCTCAGTATAGGAAAGTGCTCTGTGTGTTTTGTGATCAGACCTTTGGAGAAAGTGCAGACTCTGCTCAGATTTCTTTCCTTAAAGTCTCTAAATGAAGCATAATTTTGAGGAAACCTCAATAATTTCTGTCTGCCTTTCAGTTGGAAACCTCTTAATTCCTGATGAGTTAGTCCTCAGCAGTTCTTACTCTGAGCCATTTAAAACCTTGAGACTTTTTCTGTTGTGTTTTGCAGTCGTCCTCGTTCAGCAGCATCACTGACTCCACCATGTCCCTAAACATCATCACTGTCACACTCAACATGGGTAAGAGGACAAGCCACAATTTTTTATGATGAATTTTGAGTGGTAGAGATGTATTTGGTATTTCTCTGGATTCCTAATCCAGAACTGGGCCATTTTCACCAGCAGATCAGTGTTCCTTCCAGGGAAGGAGCTGGAACTGCAGGACGTGGGGTTAATGGTGAGGGATTGGGGTAGAAAGGCACTGGGGATTTGCATTTATGCTGCTCCTGTGTTTCATTTGTCAGCCAGGCAGAAATGTGCAGGGCTGCCAGCAAATTCAGCACCTTTCAGCAGCACCAAGCCCTTCCTGCCTCTCTGACATGTGGAACAAACAGTGCCTAATGTGTTCAGTGCTAATTTCCAGGTGTGGACAAGTCTTTTCAGTGCTCTTCCCCTTGCTGTTTTTTTTTTGTTTTTTTTTTTTTTTTTTTTTAAAGTAACACTGTCTTGGATGAAAAAATCCTGTCTTTAGCAGCCTTTCCCTGAAGGTGCCAGGCAAATATTCATCATTAGAGCAGCCTGAGATCATTGCAAGTCAAACCTTGCCCCGCTGATGTGCTGAGATGTTTCAAAGCTGAAACAGCCCCCCTCTTTGCTATCATTCCAATCACTTTATCTGCTTTTTTTTCCCCTTTCCCCACCCTTTACTTTGTGTCCATCTAGAAAAGTACAACTTCCTGGGGATCAGCATTGTAGGGCAGAGCAATGACCGGGGTGATGGTGGCATCTACATCGGCTCCATCATGAAGGGAGGGGCAGTGGCAGCGGACGGGCGCATCGAGCCAGGGGACATGCTGCTGCAGGTGGGTCCCTGTCCCCAAATCCTGCTGCTCTGCCCTGCCATCCCACCAGCCCCACGAGCTGTAGTCAGCAGGGAACAGAATTTATTCATCCTCAGAGAAATGTGGCCCAAAGATGACTGAAATTGGTGATTCTTTGTGAGACACTCTGAGAAACGACATCTCAGAGGAATGGAAGTGGTGACCATTAAATGGTGGGATGGAAGTGGTGACCAGGCAGATAATTTGGGGGATTAATGAAGTAGTTAAAACAACTTTAACTTTCCTGCTGCAAGGCTGACCCCTGCTCTCTGTTTCAGGTGAATGATGTCAATTTTGAGAACATGAGCAATGACGATGCCGTTCGGGTTCTGCGGGAAATCGTCTCCAAACCAGGGTGAGCACATCACAAAAACCCTTCCTGTTTATCCTCCTTGTGCAGTTGTTGGAGCTGGGAAACCTCAGAGAAATCAACATTCTGATATCCATCAGCATGACTGATCTCAGCTGTGAACTTCTCAGTGTAAATGATGAATAAGTGAGGTTGGTTCTGGCCAAAACCAACATGAATTGAGGAGTTGCCTGCTTTCAGCAGAGCTGTTTGTTTATGTGATGAGAATTTTAATATCCCAGGAGCTGATCATCCAACAGATTTCACCACCAGTGCTCATCATCTGTGCAAAACCAGGAACCTCCTGATGTGCTTCATACTGAAAATATTAGAAAGTTTCTCAAAACTATTCATACTTAAAATATTATAAAGCTTCTCAAACCCATTCATACTTAAAGTATTATAAATCTTCTCAAAACCATTCTCAGAATGTACTTGACAACTGCTGGATAAAAATAAATTTGTTTCAAATAGTTCTTTTAGCATTTCCAGCTCTGTAGGAAATTTAAGATCATCCTTAATCTGTTTTCTTTCTTCCTAGACCTATCAGCCTAACAGTAGCCAAATGCTGGGACCCTACTCCCAGGAGTTATTTCACCATCCCCAGGGGTGAGTACACATTTAAACTCTTGGCTGGGTTCCTGGGAAGCTCCCAAGATCTGGAATATTTTCACCTATTTTGGCACCTAACAGATTCTACCCATTCAGTCCTTTAATTGTTTACTTTTGTATTGGGAGCCTGGGGTTCCACTGCCCATTGAGTTTCTGGGAGTTTTTCTCTTGGTTCACATCTTTGGATCCATCTCCTAAACTCTTGGAAAGTGATCTTAACCTAACAATTCATAAAAGGTTTGGAAATAATTATGCCAAGTGTTAAAAATCCTCATTTTATCACAGTGAATCTTTAGAGAGAACTGAGTATTTTGAAGATGGGAGGGAAGCAGCAGTAATAGACATAAAAAAACCCGAAAATTATCTTATTTTCATTAGCAGTAAAAGATCTGTGCTCATGTGACAAACACAGCTGCCTCCTGCTGGTGAGGGCTGTGCTGGTGGTGCTGTCCACAGAAGATGACAGTGGCAGTGAAGATGGGGTGGAATAAATGCAACAAACCAGTGCAGACGGTGGGAGTCCTCTTGAAACCCTTAGGAAAACCAGAGAAACAACAAGACAACAAGAGAAAACCTCTCAGATCTCTCAAAATCTTGGTGTTTGCTGCAGGTTTTGACCCCATTTTCTGTCCCTTTGTGGTGGTACAATCTATGGGATCTCACTCATGTGAACCCCTCAGAAAACCAGAGAAACAACAAGAAAAAAACGATAAAACCCCTCAGATCTTTCAAAATCTTGATGTTTGCTGCATTTCTGACCCTGTTTGCTGTCCCTTTGTGGTGGTACCATCTTGTGGAACCCTCAGAAAACCAGAGAAACAACAAGAAAACCAGAGAAACAACAAAACACAGTAAAACCCCTCAGATCTCTCAAAATCTTGGTGTTTCCCGCAAATCTTGACCCTGTTTCCCGTCCCTTTTGCTCGCAGCTGAGCCGGTGCGGCCAATCGACCCCGCGGCGTGGATCTCTCATACCACAGCCATGACGGGAGCGTACCCCCGTTACGGTATGAGCCCCTCCATGAGCATCACCACATCTACCAGCTCCTCACTAACAAGCTCAATTCCCGAGTCGGAAAGTAAGTCACCCCCTGGCCAGCCCAGGGCAGGGGGCTGCTCGGGGCCACCAGGGCCCGGCCACGGGCACGGTGACAGCGGCGGCGCCAGCCAGGCCTTGAGTGGTTTCTCACGCTTGGGGAAAGCAGGAGAACTTTTGGCGAAGGTTGGAGGTTGATGTGGAGGTGTTTGGTCAGGGTTTTGTCTCAAGGAGAAGTGGTTGCTGGTGGATTTTAGTGGCAGGTTCAGGTTTTTCCACTCAGGTGCACATTTGGTTGGTTTTTAATAAATTTCAACGATAACGTTCAGGTTTCACTTGGGAAATCCTTCCCTGATATTCACATGGCCTTCTTTTATACTTTTGGTAAGTTCAGGTTTTTCTACTAATGTAGATGGGAGACTCCCTTCTTGCATTTAGTTGGTTTTTAATAAATTTCAACAATAATGTCAATGTTTCCCTTGGGAAGTCCTTCCCTGATATTCACATGGCCTTCTTTTATATTTTTAATCATTTTTTTGTTCTTCTTTATATTCCTAGAATTTATTGAGCAAGCTAAAACTAAATTTAACATCCTATGTGAAATTATGATTAGATTACAACCTATTTCCTGGTTTGGCAGTCTGAAAGAGCCATATCCATGAAACCAAGAGTTGGATTTTAAAGACAGGTTCAGGTTTATCCACTCAGGTGGACGGGAGAGCTGTCTTTTTGCATTTAGTTGGTTTTTAACAAATTTCAACAATAATTGTTTGTTGAAACAAGTGCTTTCTTATGAGAAATCCTTCCCTGATATTCATATGGCCTTCTTTTATGCCCAAAATGGGAGCATTTCAGATGCATCTCAGAATTTGCCATATTTGTACAGCAGCCAGAACTTTAAAAATACCAATTTTCTGTTCATATGCAGATCTCAGGTCTCCAAGAAAATACAATTTATTGCTCCCCAATATTAGTTTGTTGGTGTATTTTTTTTTTCCCAAGACATGTTGCTTTTTGCCACTAACCAAACTAACTTAAAGCAAAAGCAAAGTTTTAGTGTTTATTTGAGGTTTGTAAGTATTAAAGCTGCATGCAGAGCTGGTCTGGGATGTTTTCATGCATATTGGCAGTGCATGTATGGAAAGAAACATTTTCAGTTTTCATTGTTTCACATTTGCTGTACCTTTTTTTATCCAAAATTTTGGGTGGCTGGAAAAGGACAAAAGCAAAAGTGCTTTTGAAAGGTGGGTGATGTAGGGAGCTGGGAGGGGAGGAGGGTTCTGGAATTCCTGCTGGAGAAGGGTCTGGGCTACAGACAGAGATAAAAATGAATTTTCTAGGACTGGAAGATGGGACAGGATGGAGGATTTGACAAATTCAACCTTGTTCTTATTTTATTGTAAAAAATGATGAGGAAAGTGTGAAACCTCTGGGGATCCAGTTCTGCCTGTAATGGTGTGAACTGGGAATGGCTGGGGAGGCATTTGGGAGTTTTTTTTAAAGTGTTCCACAAAAAAATTGAGGGCGAAGCAATCCAGGGAGGAGTGGATTGTGAGGGGACCCTGGGAAGGGTTTTTGTAAGAAAATCCCTAATTTCTTCTGAGGAGGGAAGATTTCTTCTGTAATTTAATTTTCCTCATGAACGTCCAGATCTTTAAATAAAAAACTGGACATGGATTGGTCATGGTCACCCTTTCTACATGGAGATGGGAGGTGCTCCTGACAGGGAGCCCCAAAAGAGCAAACCCCAAAAACTTCTCCCCCAGAGTTCCTGGGAAATTGAAATGGAAAATGATGGATCACAAAAACCCTTGGGTTTCCTTTCCTGCCAGTCTGGATGCAGAGAGGATCCTGCAGCTGCTTTGGGAAGTCAGGATGTGGGGACGCAGAATTTCTGTCACTAAACTGGTGGCCTTGAGCCCAAAATCTGAAAAATTGCTGCAAATGCTGTAATTCACTCTGTGGATGAGGGTGCATTTGGGAATCTTTGTGTCTTTATTTCCTTTTATTTCCTTTTATTTTCTTTTATTTTAATTTTTATTTTATTTTTATTATTATTTTTATTTATTTTATTGCACTGTACTTTATTGTATTTATTTTATTTCATTTTATTTTTCCTTTTTTTTTTTTCATCTGTTGGTAAAACTGTATTTTTATTTCATCCAAACTGGGAGCTGAGAAGTTCCTTCAGGCTGAGTTCATTTCACAGCAGCCAGTGGCCTCTCTTCCTTTCAGAATTAGAAGAATCTCCCTTAACTGTGAAGAGTGACATGGCTACTATTGTCAAGGTCATGCAGCTGCCAGACTCAGGCCTTGAAATTCGGGACAGGATGTGGTTAAAAATCACCATCTCCAATGCAGTGATAGGTAAGCAGACCCCAGAAATCCTGAGAGGGAAAAAACCCAGTGATTTAATGAAAACAGGATAAAAAAAACTACCTTTTAATGAGCTTTTTTTTTTTTTATGTCTGTGACCTCTTATATTCCATTTATGGACAGGAAATAACTCGTGTCCATGTAGGTGTTCAGCTGGCACAGTTTGGCTCAGATAGTCCCATTTTAGATGTTCATCTGGCACAATGTAGCTGAGATGACCCCGTGTCTCCCCTTGCTGTGCCCATTTCAGGAGCAGACGTGGTGGACTGGCTTTACACACACGTGGAAGGCTTCAAGGACCGCCGGGAGGCGCGGAAATACGCCAGCTCCATGCTGAAACACGGCTACCTCAGGCACACTGTGAACAAAATCACCTTCTCAGAGCAGTGCTACTACGTCTTCGGAGACCTCTGTGGCAGTAAGTCCCCAGCCAGGAAGGACAGAGCTGGCCCTGTGTCATTTCTGTGCCTTGAGGGTGTCCATTGTCCCCTTGTGTGTCCTCACAAAGAGGGATTTGCGTGAGGGTGGCAGAGCTCTGGAGCTGCCCAGTGTAGCCATGATATCTTCTGAAAAATTCTTTTGTTAGGATTTTTTCTCCTGAGAAGCTGAGAGGCCTCAGGAACAAAATGTAAACAATAATTATCTGCTGCTGTGGAATGCAACAGGTGCATCTTGATTGGTCTCATGTGGCTGTTTTTAATTAATGGCCAATCACAATCCAGCTGTCTTGGACTGTCTGGTCAGTCACAAGATTTTATTATCATTCCTTTCTATTCCTTGCAAGCCTTCTGATGAAATCCTTTCTTCTATTCTTTTAGTATAGTTTTAATATATAATTTTGTTTTAATATAATATATATCATAAATATAATATATATCATAAATATATATAATAAAATAGTAAATCAGCCTTCTGAAACCTGGAGTCAAGATTCTCATCTCTTCCCATGTCAGGGCTGCCTGAAAACTTCCACAGCCCAGAGGAGGTGGAGTCTCTCTGGAGATATTCCAAACCCAGCAGGACACATTCCTGTGTCACCTGCTCCAGAATTGGACAGGGGGATCTCCAGAGGTCCCTTCCATCCCTGCCTCTCCTGGGGTGGCCCAGAACAGGGGACATCACCCTGAAATTGTGTGACAAGTGGCTGGTGCTCCCTGGTAGCAAGGAGAGCTCCTGGAGGAGGATGAACTCATCAAGCAAAGCACTGAGGACAGCAGGATTTATTTCTGGTGGTGCCACACTGATGTCATAGGTTTTAGCTTTTTTATTTTCCAGATTCTGTACTGATGCCTCAGGTTTTAGCTTTTCTCTTTTTCACATTCTGTGCTGCTTTAGTGGGTGGGTCTGGGCTTCATATTATGGGATGGTGAGCTCTGTGCACAGAGCAGGGAGACAAAACAATTCCTGCTCCAGCTGGGGACCAAGGACAAATGATCCAAATCTCAGCCCAGGAGCACAAACCGCGTGGGCTGGAGAGAGAAAAACAAGCAGGATGAGACTTCATAAGTGAAAGCTTATTAATTAATTATGAATTATGAATGAATTGTGAATAATTGGACAATGAACTGCAATATGCAAATGGAGCAGAACTTGTAAAAGTGTCAGACCCTGTGCCCAGTCGTGCGTTTTGGGACCATTTTGGTTCATCCTGGGCTCATTTTGGGACCGTTTGGTTCATCTTGGGTGTAGCCCTGGCTGGGCTCTTGTGCTGCCCAAGGTGGATCCATTGAGGAGAAACTTTTAATAAATTCCTGCTTTATTCTTTAGCTCTGTCTAGTCCCTGTTCTAGGGCAGCTTTCACATTCCCTGCTGTCAGTCCCACTGGAACAAGGGGATGTCCCCATCCTGTCCTCAACCCTTCCCTCCCCTCTCCCTGCTGTGTGAGAAGGCTGATTCCAAGGCATTGCTAAACTTCAAAAACCTCCATAAATAAATTCACAGTGATCATTTTACCTGCTGAGTAAGAATTTTTCCCCTTTTTTCTTTCCCAGATCTGGCTGCACTGAACCTCAACAACGGTTCCAGCGGCGCCTCTGACCAGGACACCCTCGCTCCTCTCCCACACCCTGCTGCTCCCTGGCCCTTGGGCCAAGGATATCCCTACCAGTACTCTCTGCCCCCTCCTTGTTTCCCCCCAGCCTACCAAGATCCTGGTTTCAGCTATGGCAGTGGCAGTGCAGGCAGCCAGCAAAGTGAAGGTAAGCTGGGATAAAAGGGTTTTATCCCACAGCTCTCATTGTCCCCCATCATCTGCTTGAGGTCCTCGGTGCTCTCCGTGCTTGTCTTGTGGTTTTTTTGCTCCCTGCATGGATTTTGTGCAATGAATTAAAGGTGTTTGTGGCTCTGGAGGAGGGGGTTTGGCTTTCAGCTCTCTGTGGGAAGTGCCAGGTTTAACCCAGGCAGGGATTGCCAGCAGTGGGGTTGGTGTTGCTGGAATTGAGGTGATTTCTGTGCTGCTGGGTTAGAACCAAGGTGCTCTTGGCTTGCAGGTCAGTGCTCAGCACAAAAGGAAAATCACATTTTTTGTAAGTGGGAGGTGGCCAGCCAGGGCTTTCCAGGGCTGAAACACTGCTCCCAGGGAGGAGAGTCTCTGCTGGCGAGTGTGACAGGGACAAGAAGAGAATTCTGCATGGATTAAAGACCTGCCCTCCTCCTTTTCTGCCCTAAATTCATTTTAACCTTAGTAAATTAAATCATGTCTTTTTTTTTTGCTGTAGAGATGCTATTTTTAATTTTTTATTTTATTTTAGACCACTCCCAGAGTGAGTTTTGCTTTTGGGAATGCTGCCAGTAAAGAAGGGGTGAGGATTCCTTGTGTTTTTTCAGTGAACATCCAATAAAATGGATGTCACTTATCCCTATTCACCACAGCCAGTCAGATTTTACAAAATGGCACAAAAGGGTTTCACAACAGGGGATTTTAGACCGGCTGCATGTCACCTTATCCCAAAATAAGAAATATCCATGAGGAATCTCCCAGAGGCTTTAGAATTGGAAACTGCCCTGGACAGAAAGCGGGGCTGGTTTTTTGGCAGCTGCTTCTGTGAGCTGTAGGAATTCTCTCCCTGCTGCTGGAATAGGAAAGGAAAGGTGGCACTCCTAAAAAGTGCCAGGGTGTTCAGCTCTGAAAGTTTTCCACACTTTTCCTGGTGGAAACCAATTTCTGTGCTGTTTTCTTGCCTTGTAACTGTTATTCCCTTGTTTTGTCCTGAGCAAGCATTAGACTGAAGGATTCCTAGAGGAATGGCTGACTCTAGGGGATTGGTAAGCCTCAAATCCCTCCATGATGAATTCACAGCATGATCATTTTTAGATTCTCGTGACCCCAAATGTTTAGCTGTATTTTGGTTTCGTTTTTTTTTCTTAATTTGAAATTTTATTTTTATTTTGAATTGTCTTGGACGCTCGACCTGTCTCAGTGCGGAGTGGTGTGGCATTGGCATATCAACCTGTGGGACTGTGCTGCAGCAGCTCAGAGGGGAGAGAATCAGCTGGGAAAATCCCATCCCCAGGCTCTCCAGAAAATAAATAATCCAAATTTATTATGGTGTCACCCCTCTGGATGGATTTCTCTGCCAGTGCCCTTGCACTGCCCATTAATTGGTGGCCTTTAATCTTTAAATAAAAATCCTGGTGGCCAGGTGCTTCAGGCAGGGGTTGGGAGTGCTGGAGCACAAGGCTGCACTGATCACTCTTAAAATAGTGTTAAATTTGGGGGTTTGTGCCCTCTCTCATTTTTCTGCACTATTAAATCATAACAATCAGCAAATACCACTGCAGAGACCCAGGCTTGGAATACTCACTTAAAATCCAGTGGTTTTGTGGTCTGTTTTCCATCTCTCTGGCACTCTGCAGAAAATGCAACCTTTCCCCCCAAAATCCAGTGTGGTTTCCCATTTCTCCAATCAGGTGGAGCAGCAGAAAGTGATGGGCAGAAAGTGGTCTGTAATTCAAGAAGGAGCAGCCCAAAATAATTCTCTTTTTCCCATTTCTGTGATTTATTTAAACTCAAAAGCTGGTCCCCTGTTCTGCTGACTGGGGATCCTTTTTGGGAAGTCCATTTTGCACTAAGGTGCAGGAATTTAATGGGATATTCCTTAGATTGATTTAGTTGGATTTTTAAAAAAATAATTAGTTTGGAACTGTCTCCTAATCCGTCTGTCATGGGAACAGAGCAAGGCCTTCAGCTTCCATAAAAAAACAGTTTTGGAACTTTAGTAAAGCTTGTTTTTAGTAACAACTCAGCTGATACTCAGTGGCAATCCTTTGGTTTTCCAAGGTGATTTAGTGGCCTCTCTTGGGAACGATATCCTGGTGTTACTGATTTGGGGTAGAGCAGCTCAGGAACTGTTTCCTAGGGAATTCTCCAAGCAGGAGATTCTCCAATTCTCCAGCACAAGGCTTTAGTGAGGAATTTTAAAAGGACCTCCCCAGTGAAGCCAACAAAACTTCACAGATTTAAGGGTGACAGAGAAGGCAAAGGGGTTTCTTTCAGAAAAGATGATTTTAAAAGGAATTTTAAAAGGACCTCCCCACTGAAGCAAACAAAACCTGAGTGATTTGAGGATGACAGAGAAGGCAAAGGGGTTCCTTTTGGAAAAGGTAATTTTAAAAGGACCTTCCCAGTGAAACCAACAAAACCTGAGTGATTTAAAGGGGACTGAGAAGGCAAAAGGGTTCCTTTTGGAAGAGGTAATTTTAGAAGAACCTCCACACTGAGGCCAACAAAACCTCAGGGATTTATGGGTGACAGAGAAGGCAAAGAGGTTTCTTTCAGAAAAGGTAATTTTAAAAGTAATTTTAAAAGGACGTCCCCACTGAAGTCAAAAACCTTGGGGATTGAAGGGTGACTGAGAGGGCAAAAGGGTTTCTTTTGGAAAAGGTAATTTTAAAAGGACTTCCCCACTGAAGCCAACAAAACCTCAAGGATTGAAGGGTGACAGAGTAGGCAAAGGGATTTCTTTCCGAAATGGTAATTTTAAAAAGAATTTTAAAAGGACTGAGTGATTTAAAACCTGAGTGATTGAAGGATGACAGAGTAGGCAGAGGGGTTTCTTTTGGAAAAGGTACAAAATAAAGCAGAGACAATTAGAATTAAACCTCATTTGCTTGAGTCAAACCCCAAATTCCTGCTTTTTTCTGCTGCCTCCCTCTCCTGGACTGGATTTGAGCTGGAATTCAGCTGCTGCTTTCCCTGTGCAAGCTCGGAGCTGTGTCCGTGTGTCCCCATGCATGGCACGACCCCATCGCTGAGCCACCACCAGCACGTGGGCCTCACAGCAGAGCCCAGCTCATCCTGGCTCTTTTTCTCTCCTGTTTTTGGGCTGTTAGGGAGCAAAAGCAGCGGCTCCAACCGGAGCACCAGCGAGACCAGCAGGAGAGCAGCGGGCAGGGAGAAGGAGCGCAGCAAGTCTGGGGGCAGCGGCAGCGAGTCGGAGCCGGGCGCGCGCCGCGAGCGCCCGCTCAGCCAGCTCAGCCAGCGCTCTGCCAGCGACAGGAGCCACCAGAGCCACCACTCTTACGGTCCCCCAGGGCTGCCCCCCTTGTACAGCCTGCCCAAGCTGGGCTCCAAGGGGCTGGGCAGCAGCGGGCCCCCCGGAGCACCCCCGGTGCGCGAGCTGAGCGCCGTGCCGCCCGAGCTCACCGCCAGCCGCCAGTCCTTCCAGAAGGCCATGGGCAACCCTTGCGAGTTCTTCGTGGACATCATGTGAGAGGAAGTGCCTTCAAAAGACTCTGCTTTTTGGTTTGGTTTTTTTGTTTTTTTTTTTTTTTGGGGGGGGGGTGGGTTGTGGGATGCTCGGTTGGAAGAGGCTTGGCTGTCTTGCATGTCACACCTTCCTGTTCGCGAGTGTGTCGCAGAAAAGAGAAAAAAAATCAACAAAACTGAACAAAAAAAAAGAAAAAAAAAAATACAAACACCCCACTCCTCAAGCTACAAAAATGAAGAACAAAATCTCCTGGGATTGTTAAATCGACGGCATCTTTTTGTTCTGTTTGTTTTTTCTCCCCTGCCCATCTCGTTTTGGATTGTGAATGGCTGGTGTATGTTCACATGTTCACATCTTAATGAGCTTTGGTCATTGTGGCACCTACTTCAGTGGAATTAGTGTCTCTTTCCGGGCTGATTGGAGGACTGCTATTTCACATGACTTCTGAATTCCTGACAATGCATAGGAGCACTTTGATTTTTATTTTTTTTCCCCTGCTTTTTCTCTTGCAAGGACAAAACAAAAAAGGACTGCTGGCTGGTATCGGGGATACTGCCTTGGAATGCTGGTTCTTGGATGCATCCATAGCTCTAAGCAGACATGGCACCCACAAGTGCTTGGAAAGGAGCAGGATCCAACCAATTCCTAGAGGAAAACAAACTTGTGGCTACTTTCTGCTGACTAGGCAGTATAAATCAATCTTTCTTGGGTTGAGGGGTTTTTTTAAAAGATATTCTATCAAGGGAGTGCTGGAGTCTTGCTACTGTTTGTGTTCATTGTGCAGAACTTGTAAAGTTATTTCCTTCAGTTATTTCCTTATTTCCCAAGAGGAATTTTCCAGCTGCACTGGGTTCCTGGGCATTTCAGTCACATCCCTGCTGCCAGGTGTGGCTGTTCCCTCTGGATGTGCACTTGCTTGCAGATTGGAAGAGTAACTCCCACAGAAATAGGAAAATTGCTGCAGTTCTGTCAGCTTTGCCCTTTTGAAGGGGCTGTTTATCCCATTCCAGCAGGGAAATCCTGGCTCCCACTGGGACATGGGACATCTTCTTTGTGATCCCTCCTTCCTTTCTCACCTCAGTCTTTCTCTTTTTTGTTAAAACAGAGACCTGGAGATGCCTGATCCCCCTGGCAACATTTCTAAGCACAGTGGGCAGAGAGGTGTGAGGGTATCTGAGAACAGATCAGAAATGGTACAAAAAGAAATCCTTACCCTGAAACTGAGTGAGACCCACCCTGGCCTCCCCAAAAATAAATCCTTCACCCTTGACAGCAAGTTAGACCCATTCTGGAGCTCCTCACAGGGAAATCCTTGCTCTGACACTGAGTTAGACCCACCCTGGAGCTCCTGAAAATTAAATCCTTACATTTGACCCTGAGTTGGACCCACCCTGGAGCTCCCCAGAATTAAATTCTTACCCTGACACTGAGTGAGACTCACTCTGGAGCTCCTCACAGGGAAATCCTTACCCGGACACCAAGGGAGACCCACCTTGGAGCTCCCCAAAAATAAATCCTTACCCCTGACAGCAAGTTAGACCAACCCTGGAGCTCCTCAAAAATAAATCTTTACCCCTGACCCTGAGTTAAACTGACTCTGCAGCTGCCCACAAAGAAATCCTTTTCGAATTCTCAAAAAGAACCCCCTGACTCCTCCTCCTGCTGAGGAGCTCTGCTGTTGAATATCCCCAAGATTTAATTTCTGGCTATTTCTGTTTTGAGGCTCTAGAAATTAAATTCAGGCAGCTTCAGGGATGTTTAAGAAGCTTTTTTGAGGCATGGTGAGCACAGCCATGCTCTCATGTGGCTCATTTAATGCAGCCACTCTGGCGTTTGACCATGGGGCCATTCCTCAGTTAAATTCTCTTTTGTGAGATCCCTGATGCTGGCAGGATTTAGGGCAGGTGCTTTAAAATCAGTTTTTACTGTAAATAAGCATCTTCTCCACTGGTAAGAAGCTGCTTTTTGGTCTGTTCTGTGCTTTTTTGGGTAAATATCCAAGGTGGATGTGAGGAGAGGACATCTTAGAACAATCTTTGTCTCTGTGTACACACAGTTCATTTGTGAAAATGAAAACCTGACCCTTCAAAATGTCCTTTTAATTCTGATTTTTCACTTCTTTCCTTTTCCCACCTCCCTTTGTCAGAGACTCCAGATGTTTGTGGGAATGGGAGACTCAATTTCCCTTTCCACAGGAGCCAGGAATTCGGGAAACTCTCACTCAGCCCATTTCTGGGCTTCTAAATTAATTTCCTTTGCAAAAACCTCCCCCAAAAAAAGCTGCCCAAGGCTTCTGAAAGCAGAGCTTTCATCACCACCCATGGGTGGCTCCTCCAAAAGAGGCCCTGCCTAAAGCTTGACTGTATGACAGTCAGGAAGGGACTTTTCTGTCCCTTCCCTCCTCCTCCCACATGCGAAGCTGACTTGGTAAATTATTCTGAAAGATTGACACTTAAGTCAGGGTGAAAGAGTGGTGGGATTCTGCTCTGTCTCCAGAAGACACTGCTGAGCAGTCTGTGACGTTACTGACAATCACTAGTGGTTCTACTTTTAAATTAATTGTGATTTTTTTTTCTGGCATTTTATATATTATTATTTCTCTGGCCCTGTTTGTTCTAAGGCAAAACTCAAAGGGCTGGAGGAAAAAAAAATAATCTCCTTTTAATATTTTCAAAAAAAGAGATTAAAGCTGGGGGCTGAGCTTTTCACCCATATTTAATTTCCAAGAGTTGCAGTTTCCACACCTGCTGGGGGTTGGCTTTTGTCTCGTGGTTTTGCTGTTGGCAGAAACTGTTCTGTGTCTTGCTGGTCTTTGCTGCTATGTTGAAAAAATGACTTTTTTTTAAAATGTGTGTGCTTGTGGGTCACCCTGGGACGAGGCTGGGAGTCCCCAGCAGATGTGGGAATTTTTTTTTTTGCTGAGGAAATTCAGGCTGGAGGAGGTGGATCCTCTTGAACAGTGCAATATTGAACAGTGACACAAAAATCTGCATTTTTTTCCCCCCCATCCTGGGCTGAAAGTCAGGTCTGAATCTTTGCCAGATCTGTTTCCTCAAGGGAACAAAAATGAGATTTCCTAAATCCCATCCTTTGTGTCTTTCCTGTCCTGCTGCATTCCCTGCAGGATCCTGTGCCAGCCATGCCAAGGGAGCTGCCCACAGTGGGAATTGTGCCGGGCAAAAGAAAATTTGGAGGCTGGAGTGCTGCAGAGCCAAAATTTCTTACCCACCAGGGCCTGCAAGTGAATTGTGATGAATTTTGATGAATTTTGATGGATTTGGGCTCCAGCATTTCTTATCCACCAGGGCCTGCAGGTGAATTTTGCTGAATTTTGATGAATTTTGATGAATTTCGGCGGATTTTGGCTCCAGGGAGAGCTTTGCTGTGCAGGGCATGGGAGCACCCTCAGAGCAGGAGCCCGAAGGAATTGGGTTAAAGCAATTCTTCGATTATTTTTTCAAATAATGTTATTTTTATTCTGCAGCTGAGCTCAGTGCTCACCCCTCCCTGCAGCAGGGATGTTTGGGGGCTTCTGGAAAAGGGGCAGAAAAAACTTTGGGGTGATTTCTCTCACCCCAAGAGGCAGCATCTGCACAGGAGGTGTCCCCACCCAGTATTTAAGCCCTGAAGAGTAAATTTTTTTGGCAAATAGTCTTAAAAGCATGCTGGTGTCTTTTGCCTCCTGTTAATGAATCTGCTTTTCCAAGGAATCAGTATCCTGGACACTTTATCCAAAGGTTTTATTGGATGGCAAGCAATGATGCACAGATGTTGAATTTTGCTATGATTTTTGTTTTCTCTCTGATTTTTGTTCTCTCCCCTCCTGAGACTTGACAGCTCATGGATTGATGTAATTGTTTTGGTTTTGGTTTTTTTTTTATTTTAATTTTTTGTTTTTGTTTTGCATTTAACTGGATTGTAATAAGATTGACTTAAAATTATTAATTCTAATCAGTGATTAGAAATACATGTAAAGAATTTTATGTACAGTAGAGGAACAAAGTTTCATGATTTTAAATAATGAAAACCCAGACTATCACCTATTCTAGAACTGGTTCTACTCCAAGAGTGACCTCTTATTAGCATGGACTGCACTGTTCCTGTTAAATGTCTATTGCATAATTGAATTCTTTTTTGTAGATATTGTATTAAAACCCAAGTGTCTGTATAGTTAATATATAGCTGCTTATGTGTAAATGCTATTTTAAACACTAAAAAGCTTTTAATTTTATGTGATAACCACAGTGTATGTGTTCAGTTCTTTGCAGTATTTCATTGTGATTTATTTCCTAAATCTTGCCAATTTTTGGACTCTCCAGCAGAATCAAGAATCACTGGGACACCCTTTGTAAATTCTGCTGAGCCTTGGGTTTGTCAGGACACCCTGGAGGCTCAGCTGGACTTGAGATCTGAAGGTTTTTCCAGCCTCAATTATTCTGATTTTCCAGCTTAAATGAAAAGAGCGAGCACAGCTTGGTGAGGCAGATTCCTTCTTCCCAGCTGGTACAGATCACACAGCAAGGGGAGAGTGAAACAGCATTTAAATACCATAAATCCCAGCATTTTCCAGTGAGGAGGATATGAAATAATCAGAATTTAAATGAATATTAAATGGTCAGAATTTAGGTGAATATTAAATGATTAGAATTTAAGTGTATATTGAATGGTCAGAATTTAAGTGAATATTAAATTGTCAGAATTTAAGTAAATATCAAATGATCAGAGTTTAGATGAATATTAAATGGTCAGAATTTAGGTGAATATTAAATGGTCAAAATTCAAGTGAATCTTAAGTGGTCAGAATTTTGGACAGCCTTTTCCTGCAGGGCCTGGTGGAGTTAAATCAGATTTTTTTCCTTTCCCTATTTCTGGAATGATGATCAAAAGTTATTTAATGTTTCTCTGCTATGGAGCCACAGCCCTGGAGGAGGAATACTGAGAATTTCAGGTGGTTGTGAAGAATTCCTGCAGGCTCCAGGAACAAGAACTCCAGGCTCCAGGTCAGAGTTTTGGTTTTTTAAATCACACTGAGGAATAATTTTAGATGGAGGTGATCACAAAAATTGGGGACAAATAACTTTGCAGTGCACCAAAAAGTTCTTGGTTTTTTTTGGTTTTTTTTAATGAAAATGTTCAGTGGTTTAGATTAATTTACAAATTCTTTAAAAAACTTTTAGGGAAAAAAGAGCAGAAATGGAAAAACTTTTAAGGAATAAAAGAGCAGAATAATTCCTTGTCAACATGAGTGGGGAAAAGAAAAACCTTGGTGATGTGACTGGGTACTGACTGGATACCGCCTGGCAAAAATGTGAAGTTTTGGGTGAATTTTGCCTGATTTTGGGGAGGGAGGAAGCTTCTGCTGTGCCTTTGGAGGGTGAGATTTGCACAGAGCTCATTTCCATGAGCCTGTCCCTGATTTTCATGGAACACAAATGGACTGAGCTGGGATTTGAATGGGAAATGCCTCCTCTGTGTCCCGCACAGCACTGCTGGCACCTGCCAGAATGTTCTTTTTACTCCTCTTTTATTGGGTTTATTTGACAATTCTGACAAGGCTTGGGAAAGGCTGATACCTGCCGGAATGTTCTTTTTACTTCTGTTTTATTGGATATATTTGATATATCAGAATTATTGTATAAATCTTACAAGATTTGGGAAAGGCTGGTACCTGCCAGAATGTTCTTTTTACTCCTCTTTTATTTGGTGCATTTGATATATTAGAATTATTGTATTATTCTGACAAGGCTTGTGGAAGGATTCCTGGATCCATCTCAGAAGCTGTTAATTAATAAGAAAGGGAAATTACTGGAAGTGTTTAGAGGGAAGTGCTGTTGGTGACTCACACTGCCAGACTTGAGAGATTGGTGTAAAATATCATTTCTGGAGGTTCTTCCATTAACTGAACCTAATGTTGCTCCTTTCTGGGGCTGAAATGTGTTTGCAAAGAGGAGGGAGAGGATGGACTTGTGAGCCCTGTGCTTTCACAACTCTAATTCAGATGTGATTGTTCCTGGGGCCACAAAGTGCTCATAAACAGGATTTTCTCCTTAAAATCCAATTTCTGTGGGGAGCGGGTGCCACAAGGAGTGATTTATTGTCTGTTCTCCTCAGAGAGGTTCTGGCAATAATAAAAGTGCTCATAAAGAGGATTTTCTCTTTAAAATCAACAGGATTTTTTCCTTAAAATCCAAATTCTGTGAGGAGCAGGTGCCACAGGCTGTGGTTTATTGTCTGTCCTCCTCTGGCTGCTCATCAGAGAGGTTCTGGCAATAATCCCTCGTGTTCAGATCAGGCCTGAACACCAAGATGTAGCACTTGGGCACAAAGTAACTGCCCAAAATGCCCAGGGTGGTGGCCAGGATGGTGCAGATCTGGGTGACAGCCCTGAGCACTGTCCTGAGCGTGGCAAAAATCACCAGGAAGAAAATCCAGATGATGAAATAGATGAAGGTGGCAAAGGTGATGCCCCTGGCCACGTTGTACCTCCTGCCCGGGGTCTGCACCATGAAGGTGCACAGGAAGCAGATGAAGGCCAGGCAGCTGTTGTAGCCATGCAGGAGGGCAAAAGCAGCCCAGGACTGGGTGCCACACACCAGCAGCACCTCCCTGGGCAGGGATTCATAGTCAGCCACCAGGTAATCAGGGCCCAGGTGGAGGTGGCACCAGCAGAGCAACACCTGGGTGAGGATGGACACGGCCACCACCAGCCAGGCCCTGCCGTGGGTCACCCAGCGCAGCAGCCTGGGGGCACAGCGGGGGAATTCTGTCACCAGGGTGACCTCCAGGGCCTTGGGCAGCAGGGAGGAGAGGCAGCCATTGAGGCACAGGGCATAGCAGAGCTGCTGCAGCGGGCACAGCGCCGCGCTGGGCCTGCCCACGTGCAGGCAGCAGCTGAGGCTCTGCAGCAGCAGCCAGAGCAGGGCCAGGAGGCTCCTGGCACCTCCTGCCAGCTGCACCAGGGGGCTCTGCAGGTGCTGCAGGAACAGCAGGGCTGCCCCACAGCTCAGGGCTGCAGTGAGGGCCACCAGGGTCAGCAGGGCCACGGCCAGGGGTTCATCCCAGGACAGGAACCGCTCGGTGCGGTCGTGGCAGCGCGTGCTGCGGGTGGGAGCCCACTGGTGCTGTGGGCACGGGGAGCAGCTGGTGCTGTCTGCAAAGAGAGACTGATCAGCACTGGAGACCTGTTGAGGTGGGATTTCAACCCCCCCAGAACTCAGGCCCCTCCCCTGAAGATGCCCTGATGGGTATCACCACAGACGTGGCGTTTGGGGAGAAAAAAAAGTGTCTCCAGCCAGCCATAAGTGTCTCTGGGGTGAAACACCACACACCCAGTGAAACACCACACATTCAGCCGTCCAAAAGTGGTTTTGGGGTGAAAAGTGTCTCCAGTTAGCCAAAAGTGTCTCTGGGGTGAAACACCACACACCCAGCCAGCTAAAAGTGCCTGGGGTGAAACACCACAGTTGCTCCTGTTTGGTTCAGCACCAAGGGCCAGACAAGCTCAGGCAAGTCCCATCCAGATATATTGGTAAATATTCCAATAGGGACCTGCCACCCCTGGGGGAGGATCACACAGGGATCTGGTGGTGGTTTGGGTGGTGTTTTCCCTCCCTCCAAGGTGTGTTGGATGTCCAGAGTTTGTGGTAGTTCAGCCTCTGCTTTTCCACCCTCATCCCTGAAGGATCCTTGTGTTTCTTGCCTCTATTTCCTTCCCCCAGCAATCCCAGGATTTTATCCTCTGCCTCTCTTCTACCCATGCCCCCAGAATTCCATCCTAGCCCTCTCTCCAAGCTCTGCAGATAAAACATAAATGTTGTCCTCATTTTCCTTCCCTCTGGGCCCAACAGGGGCAGGTCCCAGTGAGGAGCAAGACAGGGAGGAGAGCTTCCAGCTCATCACCACCTCAGCCTGGAGACAGAATAATCCACTTAAAGCCTTTCAATTGCCCAGAGCTCACCTGTGCTGCTCCAGAAGGTGTTTTCTGAGCAGTCTGTGCAGTCATAGCAGCAGAGGTTGAATCCTTTTATTCTTCTGAATTGCCCTGGTTGGCAGCGCCTGAAGCACTCGGATGTGGGCTCCTGGCAAAGAGCAGGAGTGAACATCAGCCAGGATGAATAAATCTCCAAGAAATCGGAAGGAACTGATCAGAAGGAACTGATCAGAAGGAAATGATGGAAGGAACTGATCAGAAGTAAGGAATGTGCCATTTTTACCTTCTTGTCTGGGGTGTGGAACTGGATCTGGGACGTCCGGACGTACAGGGACTGGTCGTAGTCCCCCACGGGCAGGTAGGTGACAGTGCCATCCCTCCAGTCCCAGAGGATCAGTTTGTAGCCCGTGTTTGTGCCGTGGGACTGATCAAACCTGAAGCTCTGCCCGTTCACCTCAAAGGGGAGGGTGTTCATGAAGTGCAGCAGCTGGGGAGGAAATGAAATCAAAATGGATTTTGGTCCAGTTCTTGTTTGGAGGTGACAGTTCTGCCAGCCGACATCAGCTGTGCCTTAGGTGGGCTAAGATTGTGCCAACCTGGCTGTGAGGTGACAAAAATTGGCTGTTTGTCCCTCAGATCTGCCCTCACCTGTAGGGCAACAGCCTGGTCAGAAAGCGAGAAAACTTTGTTTTCTCACAGTGGATTTGGGAGACTTTTTAGGGAGCTGTAGAAAAACAATGATAACTTGTTATATAAACAACCTGCAGGTGCTGTTTTCCTACTCTGTTTGTTCTTCTCAAGGACTGTTTGTGAGAAAGATGTTCTTGCTAATTATCCAATCAAGTAGACTGTGTCAAATCTGTCCATGAAAGAGAGGATTTTCATATTAAACTTGAAAGGGACTATCCTGCAAACCAGCCTTGGAGTGAATTTGTGCCATTTCTGCCTCAATGGTGCCACTCACCTGCCAGGACCTGACAGGTGTTTTGGGACACTCTTTGGAGGTGCAGCCCAGAGCCCTGTGCAGGGCATGGGCCACGCTGTACACGGCCATGTGCACGGGCTGCACCGGTGTCACCCCCAGCATGGGCCAGATGTCCCCGAGGGTGACATTGCCACACTGCCCACAGTGCGCGTCCAACACCTCGGTGTCCTCCAGCCCGCTGAGCTCCCGGGAGCGCCGGCAGAACTCCTCCTGAGCCACAGAGCTGAACAGCTCCGCCACGAACTCCTGGAAGCCTGGCACTGTCCCTGTCCTCATGACAAAGCCCAGCACTGTCCCCACGCTCTGGATGTTGGGGACAGAGGTGGCGATGTCCGACAGCAGCCAGGCCTCGCTGCCCAGCCAGACCTTCTTGCCCAGCCCCATGGCCAGGCTGTGCTGCAGCAGGGCCTGGGCTGGCACGCTGTGTGCAAACAGCACGATCACGTTGACTTTGGTGCTGTTAATTAATTTAATTGTGTTCTCCAGCTGCTTGGTGGCGTCAGGCTCGGCCAGCTCAGTGGGGATGAGCCCCTCGAAGGCGATGCAGATGCTGTTGGTGCCAGCCATGCTGAGGAAGAGCGCCTGGGCTCCCCGGCCGTACTCATCATCGCTGGCCACCGTGGCCACCCAGTTCCAGCCAAAGTGGTTGAGGAGCAGCACCACGGCCTCCACCAGGTTCTTGTCGCTGGGCACCGTGCGGTAGAAGGACGGGTAGAGCTCCGTGTTGCTCAGGGCCTCGCTGCTGGCACCGTAGCTCACCTGGAGGGGAAAGATCCTCACAAAGAATTCCAAAAGTTTATTAACACCTTATCAAAAATACAACATTGAATGGAAAAATTCTTAAAAAGCTTGGGAAGGGATTCTTGGATGCATCTCGGAGCTGTTGAGTAAGAAATTTACTTGAGAAATTTCTGTAAGAAATTTACATTATTATTTAAGAAATTTCCATAAGAAATTTATATTAATATTTAATAAATTTCTGTAAGAAATTTATATTAATACTTAAGAAATTTCTATAGGAAATGTATATTAATACTTAAGAAATTACTATAAGAAATTTATATTAAAACTTCAGAAATTCCTATAAGAAATTTATACTAATACTTGAGAAATTACTGTAAGAAATTTTATAAGAAAAGGAAACTACAAGGAGTGTTTAGAGGGTTAGACAGTCATATAAAACATCAATTCTGGAGTTTGTTTCATTACCTAAAAGGGAGAATCGTGCTTCTCCAGAGAGGAGCTGGAGCTGTTTACCAAGAAATTCACTTAAATTCATATAAGAAGTTTATATTAATAGTTAAGAAATTACTATAAAAATTGTATTAAAACTTAAGAAATTACTAGAAGAAATTTATATTAAAACTTATTAAATTACTAGAAGAAATTTGATAAGAAAAGGAAATTACGAGTAGTGTTTAGAGGGTTAGACATTCACACAAAACATCAGTTCTGGAGTTTGTTTCATTACCTACAAGGGCGAATCCTGCTCCTGCAGAGGTTTTTTACCTGTGGGATGAGGAAGGAGCTGAAGAGCTTGGCCGTGAGCAGGCACAGGTCGGATTTGTGGGGCCCGATGACGGCGGCGACGCGGGGCTGGTACTCGCTGTAGTCACACAGGACCCCGATGGCCCTGGTGCCATTGCGGGTGAGGAAGAGGAGGCTGGGCTGAAGGGCCACCAGGGGCTCAAAGCAGGTGTCACGCATGTCATAGCCCAGGGTGAGCCCTGGCAGCAGCCAGCTGCTGTTGTTGATCTGCTCGATGGCAAACCTCATGGCCAGAGCCCAGATCAGCCCATCCGTGAATAACCTGGGGACAGCAGGGACAGGACCTGTGCTGCACCTGGGACTGAGCTTCTTCATGCAGGAAAAGCTAATTTTTTATTAGATATTTTATTAGCATAACTGATTTTTATAGATATTTTAAAATAATTATTTTATTAGCATAACAGATTTTATACATATTTTTATAGAATTATTTTTATTAGCAAAACTTATTTTTATTCATTTTAATATAATTAATAGCATAACTGATTTTTATACATATTTTTATAGAATTATATTATTAGCATAATAGATTTTATATAGTTTTATATTATTTTTTATAGAATTATTTTATTAGAATAACTTATTTTTATCCATTTTTCATGTTTATATTTTTATATACTTCTTTTATTAACATAACTTATTTTTATACCTATATTTCTACATTTATTTATATATTTAGGTGTTTGATTATTTTACAACTTAACTGTTTGATTCAATTTAACTGATTCATTTACAATTTAACTGTTTGATTTATTTACAATGTGTTTGCTTCAATTTAACTGATTCATTTACAATGTGATTCAATTTAACTGATTCATTTACAATGTAAGTGATTCAATTTAACTGATTCATTTACAATGTAACTGTTTTATTCAGTTTAACTGATTTTTTTACAACTTGAGTGTTTGCTTCAAACCCTAAGGAAGCCAGTGCCACTAAAACCTTTTATCAAGGTGAGACCAAAGCTTGTCAGCACCAACCAACCACAAACCCGTTTCCATTCTGGGACCTGTTGATGTCCCAGGCTCCGACCCTCCTCTATCCCATGGCTATTTCCCCTTCCCCAGTCGCAGCCCTCACCTGTCACAGAGCAGCAGGGTGGGCTCAGAGCGAGCGGCCAGGTTCAGGGTGTCCTTCCCAAAGGGGAACAAACCCCCCAGGACGAAATCTCCAGGCCTCCTGAGCTGGGCTGAGAGACACCAGGGGCTCAGAGGGGCAGCCCAGGCGCAGCCCAGGCACAGCCCCAGCCCCAGCCCCAGCCCCAGCTGCATTTTCAGGGAAATCCGGGAAATCCAGGCTCAGGTGCTCCTGGGACGTCTCTTTAAATAGAGCTCAGAGGGGTTGAAGTGATGGGGAGGAATTTGTTTGGCAAAATGCAATGAATTCACTTCAGTGGGTAATAATCAAATAATCTCTAAGTAAAAACCACTGCCCTCATGCTGATTTCCTTTCCTGAGTAGCTTTTACTCAGAGTGATTTACAAATTCATTGCCACAGCTGTGGGAATTTGGGTTCCTCTGGCAGACGTGACAGAACTCGGGTGCCCCGCTCTGATTCTGGTAAATGATTTACACAACAGTAATTTTATTTATTTATTTATTACATTCCATTTTAAAAATTTAAATTATATTTTAATTATTTAAATTTTAAATACACTTCATCATGGAAATAACCAATAACCTGGAGAGGCCATTCCTGGGTCACAGCCTGGCTGTCCCTCAGCTGTACTGATATTTTTTTAGGAAGTTGTTACTGGCTGATCTATTTTTCTTTCCCTCACACTGAACTACAATATTAATTTCAGTTTAAAAACTTAAATCTGAGTTGATAGCATGGTAATTTAGGTTTTATTACTGTATTTTATTGTTGGATTTTAGGACAGCTCTGAATGAAAAGTTCAATTTCCTGCATTTTCTGTATCAGAAAATTCCTTTTGCTGCCAGTGCTGCTCCAAGGCTGGAATATTTTCCCTGCAGGAAGAAAAGCAGATTTAGACACCTGAATACAAGAATGCACCAGCTGCAGCTGTGTTTTCCAGGTATGTTCATACTGACATTTTTTTAAGCATCCTTTCCCTTTCCTGGACTATTTAAGTGTCAGTTTAACTATAAAACTTTAAAAAATAAGTTCTAAACACAATTCTGGATTTTGGGCAAGTTCATCTTCAATATTAGCAATGGTAATTATAAATATTAATATTTATCTCTTAAGAGGAATAATTACAATTAGTGTGACAAGGGAGAAAAAAATTTTCTTGTGGTCATACCATCATTTCTAGAGATTTAAACCCATTTTTTTTTTCCCTTGACACACATTATTTGATTTAGTTGAAGGTATTTAATTCACTACACTGGTGAAATATCAGCTGGCCTGATCTCCAGGGAAATGAAACAGATTTTTCCAGGGAAATAAAATCTGAGTATGTTTTCTGTAAATGGTGTTGGACCCCCAGAGTGTGATCCCACAAAGGACACTCCTCAAAAATCACATTATTCACATCATTTAATGTGCAGTGAGTGCAGTCTCCATGAGGTAATTGTGATTTCCTGAATTTTTCAGTGGTATATTAGGGCAGAAAGAGACAATCAGCTGCAGGATTGATCCCTGCAATAACCCTGCAGGATTTCTCCAGCTCCTAAAGCTCAGAAAATCCCACCTGACACCTCTGCCTCCTCCAGGGGTTTGGCAGAAGCTCCCAAAGCAGTGATTTACAGTACAAGTGTGGATTTCCCACCCCAGAGAGGCAGAAAAATCCTTTTTGTAGGCATTGAACACATTGATAAAAATTAAAAGTAAACACACAAGAACACAACTCAGAAGCAAACAGCTCCAGGCTGGGCTGGACAGAGGGGATTGTGCAGCAGAAATTAAAATTTGCTGCACATCCCAAGTGCAAAAATCACGGATCGAACAGGGAAGGGGCACAGGGAAGGTGCTGCTGGGTGGAACAATTTTCTCCCCCTTCCACCCCCATTTCCTTCAGCTCCCACAGTGGCAGGGAAAGGGCATTTCCCCAGGGCACTGCTCAGCATGAAATCCTCAGGGGGGATTTTTGTGCAAACCAAAGCGTGGGAATGAGCTCAGACACCACAGCTCCAATTTGTGCTGCCACACAAGGCCACAAATATTGCTGTGAATGCACACAAGCTGCTGCACTTGGGCTTGAAAAGAAAAACCGTTTCCAGCTTTGCTAGGAATAAAAAAATTCAAAACTTCAATCCCTTAGCAGCTCATCCTAATGTGGAATTATTTTTCTAACTCTGCACAGCTCCTCCTAATGTGGATTTTTTTTCTAATTGTAGAGATGTAAAAAAAAAGGTGTAAAAAAAACCTATTCCATGTTTATAAAATGGAATAACTTGGCCAACTCCTCAGCTCCAGGCTGGAAAGAAAAAGTGGAAATAACCAAATAATAAATGTGCAAAAATGTCATTTTCAGCCATCAGGGGCAGGTCGAGCAGCTTGTGCTGAGCAAAGAGCTCCTGGGTGATGCTGTAAGGTGGGAATATAAAAAAAATCAATCCCTTAGCAGCTCAACCTAATGTGGAATTTTTTTCTAACTTTAGAGATGTAAGAATAGAACTGACAGATGTAAAAAAATAACCGGTCCATGTTTATAATACGGAATCATTTTGCCAACTCCTCAGCTCCAGGCTGGAAAGAAAAAGTGGAAATAACCACGGACAGAATGTCTTGCTTGTGCAAAAATGTCATTTTCACCCCAGCACCGCCGTCAGGGCAGATACACAAATAGCTCCTGGGTGATGCTGTATGCTAGGAATAGAAAAAAAATCAATCCCTTAGCAGCTCAACCTAATGTGGAATTGTTTTCTAACTTTAGACATATAAGAACAGAACTGAGAGATGTAAAAAAATAACCGGTCCATGTTTATAATATGGAATAATTTTGTCAAATCCTCAGCTCCAGGCTGGAATGAAAAAATGGAAATAACCACGGACGGAGTGTGTTGCTTATGCAAAAATGTCATTTTCAGCCATCGGGGCAGGTCGAGCAGCTTGTGCTGAGTGAAGAGCTCCTGGGTGATGCTGTAAGGTGGGAATTAAAAAAATCAATCCCTTAGCAGCTCATCCTAATGTGGAATTTTTTTCTAACTTTAGAGATGTAAGATAAGAACTGAGAAATATGAAAAAATTAATGGTCCACGTTTATAAAGGGGGATAGTTTGGCTAACTTTCCACCTCCGGGCTGGAAAGAAAAAGTGGAAATAACCACGGACAGAATGTGTTGCTTGTGCAAAAATGTCATTTTCAGCCATCAGGGCAGGTCGAGCAGCTTGTGCTGAGTGAAGAGCTCCTGGGTGATGCTGTAGACATCTCCGATGTAGGGGATGGCCTCTCCCAGCATGGCCACGGCCTCCTCTTGCGAGCCCACGTTCATGATCTCCAGGAAGGCATCCCGGGAGGGCAGCGCGCAGAAAGCCACGGTGGCCGCCTTGCGGACAACCCAGGGGTGGTGCTGCGCCAGCGAGGCGTTGTAGGCGTCGGTGCAGAGCACGGAGGTGCGCGGCTCCCCCGAGCGCAGCCCCTCCAGGAACAGCTGCAGCCAGCGCAGGGCGCGGTGCAGCCGCAGCACCGTGCGGCAGCCGGAATCGGAGCGGGCCCGCAGCGCCGCCGGCCCCGCCGCCAGCTCGTGCTGCACCAGCGACTGCAGCGACACGAAGCCGTGCTGCTGCTGGTGACCTTCCAGCAGAGCCACCTTGGCCACGGCGTCCTTGGAGATGAACGAGAAGACGGCGCCCAGGCTCTGCAGGAAGCTGTGGGGGAGAGGGGAGTGGTAGTGGGTTAGGTGGGCGCGGGGTGGGGAGAGAAGCGGAAAAAATACCAGAGGGGTGAAAAAAACAACCCCAAAACCACTTCCAGGATGAAAAGAGAACCCAAAAAGCACCTGAGGGGTAAAAAGAGAACCCCAAAACACTTCAGGGGGGAAAAGAGATTGTAAAAGGTACCTGAGGGGTGAAAAGAGATGGCAAAAAGCATCTGAAGGGTGAAAAGAGAAAGCAAAAGCCCCATCAGGGTGAAAAGAGAAGACAGAAAGTATTTGAGGAGTGAAAAGAGAAGATAAAAAGCATCTGAAGGGTGAAAAGAGAAGCCAAAAAGCATCTGAGTGGTGAAAAGAGAAACCCAAATCCACTTCAGTGTGAAGCCGTCGCTCCCTGCATCCTTCTGCCCACAGCCCCCCCACTCGCTGCCGGGCACTCACCGGATGAGCCCCCGCCAGCCGCTCAGGTAGGGCTCCAGCAGCACCTCCCGCTGCTCCGTCACGCACCTGCGGAAGGCGTCCAGGACCTCCCTGAGGCTGAACGGGCCTGCGGCCGCCGCCGCCATCGCGCCGCGGCGCCGCCGCCTCCCCCTCCCCTTCCCCTTCCCCTTCCTCCTCCTCTTCCTCCTCCTCCTTCCGCATCCCGCACCGCCCGCTCGGCCAATCAGCGCCGCGTCCGTCACCCGCCGCTCCCCGCGGGCCAGTCCGCTTCGCGTGCGTCATTGCGGCTCGGCCAATCCGCGCGGGGCGGCGCAGGCGCGGAGGAGGCGCCGGGGCTGCGGCCGGGGCCTGGGTGAATTTGTGGTGTTTTGTGCGGGTTTTTTTGTGTTATTTTTTGTGGTTTTGTGCCTTTTTTGCCCGTTTTTCTGTGTTTCTACACGTGTTTTCCCGGCTCTCAGCAGTTGTGGTGGGTATCGCAGCCAAACGGGACCGCTTTCCCACAGGTTGTTGTTTATCACCTCACCCATGTTTTCTGTCTCGCCTCAGGAAGAAGTTTGGGCTCTGCTCGAGTCTTCGGCTGGATCCTGAAAAAATTGAAATGGTGCCGGTAAAACCAACGAAATCCTCTTTCGTTGTGCCCCCCTCGCATCTGCTCCTGGACTAATTTTCTGTGCGGGTTTGGGACCTGGAGGGGGGTAAAAATGCCCGAGATCAAAGTCACCCCCTTGGGTAAGTCCGGCCTAAAATCGCCTTGAAATGCAAACACTGACCCTGGGGGGAATTCAGGCTCATATTTGGAATCCCTGATGTGATTCCTCTCTGCCCTCCCTTGGTTTTTCCAGTGACCGTTATAACTGTTTGGATTAATTAATCAGGATTAATTAAGTTATTCTTGTAAAGGTACTGTGGTGTTGTGGAGCATTAATTCACTACAGTGCTAAAGAGCCACAGGAAGAAAATATTTCTTATTTTTCCCTGTTTAATATTTTTTTTAATGTGTTTTGTAGTGAGAGGGCAGAGGATGTACTGAGCAGCAGATCTGCTTTATCCTCCTGGGTAGTTTTCAGCCTTGGTGTGGGTTTAACTTAATTAGGCTTAACGAGGGCAGAGCAGCTGGAGAAGGAGTTCTGATCCTTGCCAGATGAAGGACTCTTCTCTCTTCCTTGAAACTGCAATTGCAGGAAGTCTGTGCAGACCTTCACCTGCTTTTATTTTGAAAGAATTGCAGCTTTTCCCAGAGGTGTTTTACCAGTGTCTTACTGGTGTTTTATTGGTGTTTTACTGGTATTTTACTGATACTTTGCTGATGTTTTATTGATGTTTTGCGGGTGTTTTGTCAATATTTTACTGGTATTTTGCTGATGTTTTGCTGGTATTTCGCTGGTGGTGTTTTTCTGCTGTTTTCCTGGTGTTTTATTAGTATTTTGCTGGTGATGCTTTATTGGTGTTCTTCCAATGTCTTACTGGTATTTTGCTGGTGTTTTGTGATGCTTTCCTGGTGTTTTGTTGGGGTATTATTGGTATTTTCCTGGTGCTGTTTTATTGGTGCTTTGCTGATGTTTTAATGGTGTTTTCCTGGTGTTTTGCTGGTATTTTGCTGATGGTGTTTCACTGGTGTTTTGTGATGATTTCCTGGTGCTTTGCTGATATTTTACTGGTATTTTGCTGGTGGTATTTCACTGGTATTTTGTGATGTTTTCCTGGTGTTTTATTGGGCTTTATTGGTGTTTTGCTGGTTGTGTTTTATTGGTGTTTTGCTGATGTCTTACTGGTATTTTGCTGGTGTTTTGTGATGTTTTCCTGGTGTTTTACTGGTGGTGTTTTGATGATGTTTTACTGGTTTTTCACTGGTGTTTTGCTGATGTTTTCCTGATGTTTGCTGTTATTTTGCTGGTGGTGTTTTGCTGATGTTTTACTGATATGTTGCTGATATTTTGTGATGTTCTCCTGGTGTTTATTGATGTTTTTCTGGTGTCCAGGTGCTGGCCAGGATGTGGGCAGGAGCTGCATCCTGGTGTCCATCGCTGGCAAGAATGTGATGCTGGACTGTGGGATGCACATGGGCTACAACGATGATGTGAGTGTCCCCTGGGCCAGCTCCTGTCCTCCTTTTGTCCCTCCTGCACTGCTGGGGCTGGGCTGGGGCAGAGCTGCTCTTTCCCCTTCCAAAATCTCCCTTCCCCTCAAGTGTTCCATGAAATATCAGCCCTCCTTTCCCTGGCTCGTGGACTTGGGGAAATGTTTATTAATAATGTTTATTAATGCAGCTGGAAATGCTCCATTCCAGCTGGGGTTGGACTCTCTGGGTTTCCTGTGAGCAGGAATCCTGTCCTAAGCTTTGGGGCAGCTCATTCCAGGTGGGATCCTCACCACATTTCTGCTGCTCCAGGGGGAGAGAAGGAAACTCCTGATTTTGGCTTCCCTGACCCAGCAGGAAAGGAATAATGGCACAGATATTCTGTAGGATTTCGTTCAAGCAGCAAATGTGCTGGACAGGAAAGCTTTTGGGGCTTTGTGCTTCAGAGCCAGGGTGTGATCAGCTCCTGTTTTATTTGGGAGATAAAATGATTTATTTATGAAAGGGTCGGTTTCTGTTTGTGCCCTCTTTTCTGCCTCTCCCTGCACACAAAAACTGCCTGGAGAGGGCTCAGCACATTCCCAGTGTTCCATTCCCTCCATTTTTTGTTGGATCAGTGGTGCTGGTGCTGCCTGGAAAAGAGTCACCGCATTCCCAGGTCCTTCACTCCATGGATTTGTTGGATCAGTGATGCTGGTGTTGCCTGGAGAAGGATCAGCAAATTCCCAAAGTTCCAGGCCCTTCCCTCCATGGTTTTATTGGATCTGCTGTCGCCTGGAGAAGGATGAGCACATTCCCAGATCCTTCCATCCATGTTTTTTTTTTATTAGTGGTGCTGGTGCTGCCTGAAGCATGCTCAGCACATTCCCAATATCCCATTCCCTCCATTTTTGTTGGATCACTGGTGCTGGTGTTATTGGAAAAGGATCAGCACATTCCCCGAGTCCCATTCCTTCCATTTTTTGTTGGATCAGTGGTGCTGGTGTTGTTGGAGAGGCCCCAGCACATTCCCAATGTCTCCCAGTGTCTCATTCCCTCCATGGTTTTTTTTGGATCACTGATGCTGCCTGGACAGAGCTCAGCACATTGCCAGAGTCCCACTGTCCCATTCCCTCCATGATTTTTTGGATCACTGGTGCTGCCTGGACAGAGCTCAGCACATTGCCAGAGTCCCACTGTCCCATTCCCTCCATGATTTTTTGGATCACTGGTGCTGTTGGAGAGGCCCCAGCCCGTTCCTGGTGTCCCACTGTCCCATTCCCTCCATGGTTTTTTGGATCACTGGTGCTGTTGGAGAGGCCCCAGCCCATTCCCAGAGTCCCACTGTCCCATTCCCTCCATGATTTTTTGGATCACTGGTGCATTCCTGCTGGATCTCCTGTTTTCCCCCGGCTGCAGAGGCGCTTCCCTGACTTCTCCTACATCACCCAGAATGGCAGGCTGACTGATTTCCTGGACTGTGTCATCATCAGGTGAGGCTCCTTCCTTCTCCCACTTCTTTTCGTGCCATTCCAAGCCCACCTCATATTTTACCTGCTTTTTCCCTCCTGAGAAGATCTGGGAGCCACCCAAACTGAATTCTGTGCAACCATTTTGGGGTTTTTTGCGTTTGATTTTTTTTGCAGCCACTTCCACCTGGACCACTGCGGGGCCCTGCCCTATTTCAGTGAGATGGTTGGCTACGATGGCCCCATCTACATGACCCACCCCACCAAGGCCATCTGCCCCATCCTGCTGGAGGACTACAGGAAGATCACCGTGGACAAGAAAGGGGAAACCAACTTCTTCACATCACAGATGATCAAGGACTGCATGAAGAAGGTGGTGGCCGTGCACCTCCACCAGACAGTGCAGGTCAGGGGGTAAATTGGAAATGTAGCTAATTAATCAAGAGGTTAATTTGGAAATGTAGCTAATGAGTCATGGGGTTACATTGGAAACGTAGCTAATTAATCAATGAGTCGTTGGGAATGTAGTTAATTAATCAAGGGCTTATGTTGGAAATGTAGTTTATTTATCAAGGGGTTAAATTAGAATTACAGCTAATGAATCACAGGGTTAAATTAAAAATTCAAGTAATTAATCAGGGGTTAAGTTAGAAATATAGCTAATTAATTAAGGGGCTAAGTTAGGAATATAAGCTAATGAATCAAGGGGTTAAATTAGAAATGTAGCTATTAGGCAAATTCTCCTCCTTTTGAGTAAATCCAGAGGGATTTGGATTTCCAGATATTTCCAATTGGAGTTGAAATACTGGCATTGCTGAGGGGTCTGCTGTTTATAATTTATATACATATATCTATATCTATAAGTTGAGATGCTGGCAGTGCTGAGGGTTTGCTGTTTATATTTTATACCTATATAAAGTTGAGATGCTGGCAGTGCTGAGGGTTTCCTGTTTATATTTTATATCTATATAAAGTTGAGATGCTGGCAGTGCTGAGGGTTTGCTGTTTATATTTTATACCTATATAAAGTTGAGATGCTGGCAGTGCTGAGGGTTTGCTGTTTATATTTTATATCCATGTAAAGTTGAGATGCTGGCAGTGCTGAGGGTTTGCTGTTGGCAGGTGGATGAGGAGCTGGAGATCAAGGCTTACTATGCAGGCCACGTGCTGGGGGCTGCCATGTTCCAGATCAAGGTTGGCTGTGAGTCCGTGGTGTACACTGTGAGTATGCCCAAAGTTAGAATTATTCCCCTTTTTTTTAGCTCTAAATATTCCCAGATATTTATATTTTATATCTATATATAATGATATATAAAATTATATATTTTTATTATTTATATACAATATATTATACATATCATATATATTATCTTTATGTTTATATATTATATATTTATATTATTTATGTACAGGATATTAATATAGTTTATATTATACATATTGTCTTTATATTTATATATTATTACATAGTTATATTATTTCTATACCAGATATTTGTGTATACTATCTATTATATTTCTATATTAGCATATATTTATATTATTTATATTACATTCTATTAGATATTTGAGCCTCCATTGGTTCAGAAATCTCTCTGGGTTTCTCTTCTCTCCTCAGGGTGACTATAACATGACACCAGACAGACACTTGGGGTGAGTAAAAAGCTGAATTTCAATTTTTATCTGAATTAATTTAAACAAAGCTACCATAGAGCTCCAAAGGCACCCTTTACTCCCATTTCCTGTGCCACTCCTCAATCCAGCTTGGAGATTTTCAGATTTAACCCACCAAACGCCCTTTCCTGCTGTGATTTGGGGTTGAATATTATTGCATTTAGAACTGGTCATAAACTGGACAAATACTGCTTTTTGAGCTCTGTGATTTCAGTTCTGAGCTGGATCAATTCCAATTAAGCTACCGTAGAGCCCCCAGAGGCCACTTTGCTCCCATGTCCGGGGCCATTCCCCAAGCCACCGTGGAGGTTTTCAGATGGAGCCCAGCAGAGCCCCTTTCCTGCTGTGACTTTGGGTGGAATTCCTGTTTTAGGGCGGCCTGGCTGGACAAGTGCCGCCCTGACCTGCTGATCACTGAGTCCACCTACGCCACCACCATCCGCGACTCCAAGCGCTGCCGCGAGAGGGATTTCCTCAAGAAGGTGCACGAGACTGTGGAGAGAGGAGGGAAGGTACAGAAGGAACGGAAATAAGTAAAAATATTCAATAATAAAGAAAAACAAATCCTAATAAATGCTTGAAGATAAATAAAAATAAAAAATAAACTAAATATAATAAAGTATAAATAATTATAAAATAAAAATTAGAAATAAATATAAAACTGTAAATAAATATAATTATAATAAAATATAAATAAATAAAATAAATTAAAAATAGAATCAAATAATGAAAATGTAAGAATTAATATTAATATTAAGTAATAAATAATGATAAATGTCTAATTGTCTTTCCCACACATTAACAAATCCTCAAAAATATCGATCAGTACTGGAGATATCAGTTACCAGTTGGTGATTGAAAATGTAATAATGGAAAATGATTATTATATATATTTTAAATCTATTATATATTATTATATATTATTATATATCTATTATATATAGTATATAAAATACATAAATATAATAAAACATAATTATACAATATATAATATAATAGATAATATATAATATATAGTAATATATTAATATATAAATATATAATATAATATATTTATATTATATAATAAAATAGAAATATACTGTTACTACCACTACTACTGCTAATGTAATTATAATACTAGTAAGTGAATGCTGTTTGGCTCTGTCAGACCCTGAACTCCCCCTGTGTTCCAGGTTCTCATCCCAGTTTTTGCCCTTGGCCGTGCTCAGGAACTTTGCATTTTGCTGGAAACCTTCTGGTGAGCGCCCCCTGCCTTTGGGATCCTTGGTGTGTGATGAGTGCTGGAAATGTAAAGTTGATCTGTGGGGAGACAGGCACTGAAACCTGCCTGGGCGTGAATGCCACTGACAATATAGAATAATACATAAATCCAGCAATAAAGAATGTATATAATAACATAGAAATATATTTTATATATATATTATATGTATTATTTCATATTCCTCCTGAAGTGGAATTGCCCTGGGTGCAGGGAGAGCTCAAGTTAAAATTATTAAATATTGAAAATATTTAATATAAAATACTGATTTCTAGCTCATGAAAACAGGGAAATACACCCCAAAAAACCTTGGGAGGCTCCCCAGCTTTATGGCCAGACAGGATATATTTATATATGTTATATATATTTATATATAATGCTTTATACATATAATATTTATACATTTTTAATATATTTTTGTATATTATTTTATATAGAGTTATATTTTATATATGCAATATATTATATAGAGTTATATATATCATGTTATATTATATATTTATAATGTCATATTATGCATATAAACATATGTTATATATATAATATAGATAACATATTATTTATAAAATAGGCTTTATATATGTAAAATATGTTATGTTATATAGATAATATATAATTTATAATATATAACATGATATTGTATATTCTGTGTTATATATTATCTATTTGCCTCTTTCTTCTCTTGCAGGGAAAGGATGAACCTGAAAGCTCCAATTTATTTCTCCACGGGCCTGACAGAGAAGGCAAACCATTATTACAAACTGTTCATCACCTGGACCAACCAGAAGATCAGGAAAACCTTTGTGCAGAGGAACATGTTCGAGTTCAAGCACATCAAAGCCTTCGACAGAGCCTTTGCAGACAACCCTGGGCCCATGGTAGGAGAGGCTTGGGAGCTTTTTTGTTCCAGATTTATCCCAAATCCTGGGGGAAAATCAGCCTGAGCATCCTCCACCCCAGCAGTCCCACCACAAAACCTCTCCTGGCCAGGTCAGATCTGTAAATACCAAATTTAAATTTCTTTAATTTATTTTTTACTTCATTAAAAGTGAAACACCCAGAAAAAAATGAAAATTTTGCATCTTTATTTCATCTACACATCCTGATTCAAACGAGGGTTTTCTTTTCCACACAATCTTTTATTGGATGCTCTGCACAGATTTAGGATATTTCTATAAACCATGGAAAAAATGGGTTTTTTGTAGTGATTTATGGCCCATCTTTGATTTGCAGGTGGTGTTTGCAACCCCTGGGATGCTCCATGCAGGACAATCCCTGCAGATCTTCAGGAAATGGGCAGGGAATGAGAAGAACATGGTAAGAAATTGGGTTTTTATGGGGTTTTTATGGGGTTTTTATTGGGTTTTTATGTCTCATATTAATGTGAGTCACAACTACTGAGATTATGGCAAAGCTTTTCTTGAGGAGCTGGAATTAGAGGACAAAAATCCTCTTTGAACTAACTCTATTTTGTGACTTTTTTGATGTTTTAAATGGATTTCCCAGGCTAAATCCATGGAATTTTTTATTTTTTTGGGGTTTTTTTTCCAGGTGATCATGCCTGGCTACTGTGTCCAGGGAACTGTGGGCCACAAAATCCTCAGTGGGCAGAGGAAGCTGGAGATGGAAGGAAGACAAATTGTGAGTTGGATTTTCAATTTCCAGCACTGAAAATACCTCAAAATAATCTTTACTTTTGGAGTTGCACTTAGTTGGGTTTTTTTTTTCTTTTTTGCTTAAGCAAAGTTTGATTTGTTTTATTTTTTCCCCCCTTTTGCATTAATTCCTGCCAAAAAAAACCATTGAAGGGCCCTTTGATTCTGCTGTAAAATTTGGGTGAATAAGTTTTACTAAAACTTACAAAGTTTTACTTCTTAATTATTAAGTAAATTAATAATTAAGTAAATTCTTAAAATTTCTTTAAATACTTAGGGGCATTTTATACTGTTTAGTAATGAGGCAAATAGGTGAAGTTGATATATTTTCACATTTCAATTGATATATTTTCAGTTTTTCATTTTTCAATTGATATATTCGCATTTCAACAGATATATTTTTCCATTTTTCATTTTTCAGTTGCTATCTTTTCACCCATCTAAAGCACATTTGGATAATAAAACACCAGCTGACCTGCAATACTTGATTTTTGTGACAAATATTGTCTGAAATGAGGCAAGTTGAGCTTTTAAATTAGGGCAGCTTTGTGTTAAGGCAATTTAGGTTTTCTCCTTTTTCCTTTTAAGTAAATCCAGAGGGATCTGGGTGTTCCTGGGTGTGTCCCAAGGAATTCCCAGCTCCCAGAGCTCTGCTCTGCTCCTCCCAGCTGGAAGTGAAGCTGCAGGTGGAGCCCATGTCCTTCAATATTTGATTTTTGTTTCTTGACAATTTTTGTGCCAAGTATTGACTGAAATGTGGCAGCTGGAGCTTTTAAATTACAACAGCTTTTTGTAAAAAAAGTTTAGGTTTTCTCCTTCCTCCTTGGAAGTAAATCCAGAGGGATCTGGGTGTGTCCCAAGGAATTCCCAGCTCCCAGAGCTCTCGGTTCCTCTTGTCCCCAGCTGGAGGTGAAGATGCAGGTGGAGTACATGTCCTTCAATATTTGATTTTTGTGACAAATATTGTCTGAAATGAGAGAATTGGAGCTTTTAAATTATGACAGCTTTTTGTCAAGGCAGTTTAGGTTTTCTCCCTCTTAATTTCCAATAAATCCAGAGGGATCTGGGTGTGTCCCAAGGAATTCCCAGCTCCCAGAGCTCTCGGTTCCTCTTGTCCCCAGCTGGAGGTGAAGATGCAGGTGGAGTACATGTCCTTCAGCGCCCACGCAGATGCCAAGGGCATCATGCAGCTGATCCGGCAGGCTGAGCCCAGGAATGTGCTGCTGGTGCACGGGGAGGCCAAGAAAATGGAATTCCTGAAGCAGAAAATCGAGCAGGAGTTCCGTAGGTATCCCTGGGCAGGGGAGGGAGCCCTGACCGGCTGCAATTCACATCTGGGCCTCAGCACAGTCAGATGAGGTGGCATTTCTACCTCCCTCGAGGAACTAATGCTCCTAACACCGTAATTAACATTAATTAAACCCCGTTAATTGCAATGACCCCCTTGGACAGAAATTAGAACTGTCTTCCATGTGAGAGGAGGGAATGGAATTAAAATTTTACACATTTTGGATCAATTTTGGATCCTTCAGCAAAGTTATGGAGGGTGGCACTTACAGCTCAAGGAAATGATGCCTGTAATACCTTAATTAACATTAATTAAGTTAATTGCAGTGACCCCCTTGGACATGAATTAGCATTGTTTTCCATGTTAGCAAAGGGTATTGAATTAAAACTTTACACATTTTGGATCCCTCAGCTCAGGTAGATGGGGTGGCACTTACAGTTCCCCTCAAGAAAGTGAGGGCTCTGACACCTTAATTAATATTAATTAATTGCAGTGACCCCTTGGATATGAATTAGGATTGTTTTCCATGTGAGAGGAAGGACTGGCATTAAAACTTTAAATCACATTTTTGATCCATCTTGGCCCTCAGCACAGTTAAGTGGGGTGGCATTTATACCTTCCCTCAAAGAACGGATGCCTGTAACATTAATTAACACTAATGAAGCCCAGTTAATTACAGTGATACTCTTGGACATAAATTAGGATTGTTTTCCAGTGGAGAGGAAGGAATGGAATTAAAATTTTACAAATTTTGGATCCATTTTGGCCCTTGGGGTGGCATTTACACCTCCCCTCAAGGAAGTGACACCTGTTACACCTTAATTAGCATTAATTAATTGCAGTGGCTCCCTTGGAGCTGAAGTTTCTTTTGTTGCTGTTCCCTTTGCAGATGTCAGCTGCTTCATGCCAGCCAACGGAGAGACCACCACCATCCTCACCAACCCCTGCATCCCTGTGGACATCTCCCTGGGCCTGCTCAAGAGGGAAACAGCCATAGGTGACGCTGCCCGCCCAATTCCTCCCTGTGCTGGCTTAGAAAGCTGAAAATTTATATTTAAAATATTGTTTAGATGTAAAATTTTATTTAAAATTTAGATGTAGGTTTATATTTAAAATATAATTTATGTGTTTCAAATCAGTGTGCACACCCTGCCTGGTTTGCTGCCTGTGTGTGCTCGATTTGGGAGATAAACTGAATATATAAATATATATATATTTATTCAGTATATATATAAAAATATATATCATGTATAAATACATACTATATAAAATATATAAATATTTTATATTTATATTATAAATATAATTATATTAATAAATATATATAGCAAAACTATGTTATTACTATTTATATATTAATAATTTTATTTTATATTTATATAAATATAAAAATTATATATACTATATATATAATATAAATAAATATATATTTTAAAACAGAATTTTAGAAAAAAATAATCTCATTTTTACCTCAGGAAGTGCTCTGGGAAGAGAGGGAGTTGCTCTGTATCACTAAATATTGATTTTAGGTGTCACTATTGCCCTGTAGGTGCTGCCCCTGATGCCAAGAGGCCCAGGCTGATGCACGGCACGCTGCTCATGAAGGACAACGTGAGTACAGAGCCCTCCCAGGGTGGCTTTTGTGTCCTCTGCTTTTTGTGTCCTCTGAGGGTGTTTTTTGTGCCCTCTGAGGGTGTTTTTTGTGCCCTCTGAGGGTGTTTTTTTCATGTCCTCTGTGTTTTGTGCCCCCTCAGGGTGTTTTTCTTGTTTCCTGTTTTGTGTCCTCTCAGGGTGGGTTGTGCCCTCTGAGGATGTTTTTTGTGTCCTCCCAGGGCTTTTTTCATGTTCTCTGTGTTTTTTGTCTTCTGAGGGTGTTTTTTCTGTTCTCTGAGAGTGTTTTTTTGGGTCCTTCTGAGGGTGTTTTTCATGTCCTCTGAGGATGTGTTTTGTGTCCTCTGTGTTTTTCCCCTATCAAGGTGTTTTTTGTGCCTTCTCAGGGTGTTTTTTTATGCCCTCTGAGGTGTTTCTGTGCCCTCTGGAGGTGCTGTCCAGTTTCAGACACACAAAGAACCCAAATTACCGCCAGCGCTTCCACTTCCTCCCAACAAAGGAAGTTCATCTGCAACCTCATCTTTCTTTTCAAACATCACTCCCCTGCTAGAGCTTCAACCACCTTCCAGAGACCAGCTTGATGCTGTTCAATATTTATTTATTTATAATTATTGAGGTGGATGTTTTGTCCCACTCTCAGCTCTCCCTTTGAGCAACAAACACTCCGCGATATCCCAGCCCAGAAAGGGAACGCCCTTCCCTGCTTGGCAGCGCCACAACTCCCCCAAGCTCTGAGGATTAATTTCACCAGAGACCAGCTTGATGCTGTTAAATATTTATTTGTTTATTTATAATTATTGAGGTGGATGTTTTGTCCCAGTCCCAGCTCTCCCTTTGCTGCCCACCCTCAGCAGTGACAAACACTCCACGATATCCCAGCCCAGAAAAGGAACGCCCTTCCCTGCTTGGCAGCGCCACAACTCCCCCAAGCTCTGAGGATTAATTTTCTCCCTTTAATCTCTTTTTCCTCCAGAGTTTCAGGCTGGTTTCCCCTGAGCAGGCCCTGAAGGAGCTGGGGCTGGCTGAGCATCAGCTGCGCTTCACCTGCCGCGTGCACATCCAGGACCCGCGCAAGGAGCACGAGACCGTGCTCAGGGTCTACAACCACCTCAAGGGGTGAGCCCTTGGGGCAATCCTTAACATCTGAGGGGCTGGGAAAGCTGCAAAAGGCCTCAGAGACAGCAGAACTGTGATTAGAGCTAAGCAGGAGCCATGAGATTGGTCAGCAGAAAAATTATATAAGAAGTAGAAAAGTAAAGACAAATAGAACAATGGTTTGTATATTAATGCTTCTCTAGAATAACTCCTAAGCTACAGAAAAGTCTATCTAGAGAGATATTAGGGAGTTCTAAGCTTAATAATGGAGCTCTGTGCATTGTGTTTTGAGGCTTACAAGCAGGGATTGTATTTAAAATAAGCAGGCATTGTTTTAGCCAGCAGGATTTGTGCTTATAGCGGCTGGACAGAACTACTGGCAATGGGCTTTTGCTTTGTGGGATTGGTCACAAAACTTTTTACAACTCCAACATTCTGTGTCTGCTGCCTGGGATGTGAGCTGCTGGGATCTTCCCATTGTCATAACCATGGAATGAGAGTGATGCTGGAAAATCAAACAGCTCCAGGCACATTCCCAGCAGTCCTGTCCCATTCATGATTTGTACACAGCCCCAGCCAGCAGTGAGCCCTGAGCCCTGGCAGGGCTTTCCTGGCTCTCAGGGATTCAATTGATTCTTTTATCCCCATTGGTTTCTTATCCCATGGTTTTTTATCCCCATGGTTTTTAAGGCCACGTTTTCAAGCATGGGGTTGGAAAAGTTAAAGGAAGCAGAACAAACCAAAGCAAAACTCGTAGGAAGATCTCTCCAGCCACTGCTCACGAGAATGTCTTGGTTTGGAAAGAGGTTCTGCTTAAGGAAGGCAGGAGCCTCCCCTGAAATGGAAAATGTAAACCCCCTCCCTTTGAATTGTTATAGTTTTGAAATTAAGGGGCTCTCAGCCAAAAATATGGGAGCAGGAATAACAGTTCTTTATTAGGGAAATTAAAAAAAATACAAATGCAATAGTACAAAAAGAAAAATCACCAAAATGAGCAGTGGATCAGCTCCTTTTCCCTTCTTGGGCTCAGAACTGGGATTTGGGATGAAAACCCGGCATTTATTCCCCAAATAAACCCCGAATTTCTCCTTTCTCTGCAGGGTTCTGAAGGATTACTCAGTGCAGCACCTCCCTGATGGCTCCATCACCGTGGAGTCCATCCTGATCCAGGCCACGGCTCACTCTGAGGACCAGGGAACCAAAGTCCTGCTGGTCTCCTGGACCTACCAGGTGGGAATTCCTCATTTCTCACCCAATCCCCTCCCTCCCAACCCTGCCTCCTCGGGCTTTGAAGGAATTTGGAAGATGAGGGGCAGTCCCTGGTGCTTTCTGAGCAGAAATGATTTTACAGCTCTGTAAAGCAGAGAACTTCTGGGGTAATTCCACTTAATTCCACTTCATTCAGTTCTGAATTACTTCATTTTGTATTTCTAAGTTAGAAAATTTCAAACAAATAGAGAACTATTTCTGATCTAAACATTCTTTTATTTGAGTCATCCCATCATCTTCCCTTTCTGTGGCTGGATTATTAAATTTTCTGGATTATCAAATTATTAAATTGAACTTTCTGGATTATCAAATTTTCTGGATTATTGGATTTTTTCTGGAATATTGAATTTTCTGGAATACTAAATTTTCTGGATTATTAAATTTTCAGATTATTAAACTTTCTGGATTATTAAATTTTCTGGATTATTAAACTCTTTCTTGACAGCAGAAAATGCCCTTGGAAGGCAAAGCAATAAAGCAATTTATTCCTTGATTTCCAGCAAAAATGGGGCTTTTCCTCAAAGGAAACCCCTCAGGTCCTTGGAGAAATGGGAATTTTACAGCAATAACAGCCAGAAATGAATTTGTGGATTATTTCACGTTTTAAACACAGCTCACCTTAGATCCTGCAAGGTCCAGGAGTTCCCTCAGTCCATTCCTGGGCACCAGAACTGAAGTGACTGCCCCGGGCAGGACAGTCCAGGGAGGATTTTGCTCTCACGCCCTTCGTGTTTCCCATTCCAGGACGAGGAGCTGGGCAGTTACCTGACATCCCTGCTGAAGAAGGGGCTGCCCCAGAGCACCCCCTGAGAGCTGAGCCCAGATTTTATTTTGTTTACATTTTCAATGGTTTTTCTGCTTGATTTTAATAAAAGAATTTCAGTGTTTGTCCAATTCCTGCAGTGACACCAGCACTGGGATTTTCCCCCTTGGAAAAAAAACAGCCAGGGAGTCAAGACTTTGTTTTTAAATAGACCTGAGGAGCAATTTACACATTAAAGTAAAAGTTACTCAGTGTTCTCCCCTCCCACAGCTGAAAATCCCCTGCTTAAAATTAAAATTCCAAGTATAAAAGCATCACAGAAAGTAAAAAACCCCAAATGTGCTGAAAACCAAGCAGCAAAACATCTTTAATTCCTCATCCTTCCCTCAGGCCCAGCTGCAAGGAGCCTCCAATCCAATTTTTTTACATTTTTCAATAAAATGGTGAAAAAGGAGTTCCCCTCCAGTGCTGGGAGGATTTCCCACAGGAAAAAATGGGACCAAAAAAAAGAATTTCTGCTCAAGGTAAAGGATTCTTAGGGGCTGAGGTTCCCACAGTGCCAGGAATTGGAATTTTCCAGAGTTTACAAAAGTTGCAGCTGAATTTTCTCACCAAGATTTAAAAATCTGAGCAAAACAGAGAGGGAGAGGCCAGAAGCCAACCTGGGGTTTTTAATAATAATTAATGAGGTGGCCAATTAAGGACAAATACCTGGGTGAATTTCAGGAAAAAAAAAAATCAGAAAAAAAATCAGAAAGAAATCAGAAAAATATCGGAAAAAAATTAGAAAAAGCAGAAGAAAAGCAGAAAAAAAATCAGAAAAAAATTTAGAAAAAAAAAAAAAAAAAAAAACGAAAAATAATCAGGAAAAAACCCTCCAGGAAGCACCTGGGATCTGTTTCATTCCCCCACCCTCCCCACTGGAAGCAGAGGGGTTGGAATATGAATTTTTTATCATTTAGGAATGGGGTAACTGAGAGGTGTTTTAAAAACTTTTATGTGAAGGGTGAGACGATACAGATGTTACAATTTTTAGAATTGTTTAATTGAATTTATAATTTATGTTATAAATTCCTTTTGGCTCAGCCCACGGAGCTCCTCTTCTCCTGGGGCACTTGGAGGGGCCAAATCTGAGAGGAGAGAGCAGAAAAAAACATGAATTTAGGGAAAAAATATTGATTATGGGGAAAAGAAAACATGGATTTAGGGGAAAAGAAAACATTGATTTAGGGGAAAAGGAAATATTGATTTAGGGGAAAAGAAAACATTGATTTAGGGGAAAAGGAAATATTGATTTCGGGGTAAAGAAGCACTGGGATCTTGGCTGGTTGAAAGCAGGTATTTGCAAATCTATCCCACTTCTGTATAAGCTAAATTGTTACATTTTGGCTCAAATTGTTCATGATGGGAAGGTTTGGACAGAGAAAAACTCATCCCATTGTAGCCCTGCCAGGGCCACCTTCCACCATCCCATGTATATTCAATAATTATAATAATGTATAATCATAAATAATTATAGAATAATGTATATTATTAATCTATATTATAGTATATAAGTTATCTATTTGTTTTTCAAACCAGGATACTATTATATATTAATTAAGATGCATTAATTCTATATTATATTATAAATAATTATATCATTATTATATCAATCAATCGATAGTAAAGTTATAAAATAGAATACATTCTATATTGATTATATATTAATTTCATATTACTATAATTATAGAATGATATATATTAATTTATTTATAAGATATAAAATATAATACCGTATATATTTATTAACATATATTAATTCTATATTGCTATAGAATTATATATATTAATCTATATTATAAGATATAAAATATAATATATAGTATATAGAATATACTAATTAATATATATTAATGCTATATTCTTGTTATAAATAATTAAATAACTATATATATTAATCTGTACAATATAAATATATAGGATATATTGAGTCTATATATTAATTCTATACTATTATAAATAATTATATAATTATACATAATAATATGGTATCGCATTACAGATTACAATATTATTCTATCATAATCACTGTACGTTATTTATTGATATCTATAGACCACGAGCCCTTCTCTGATGAGCTGTGGCTGCTGGCTGATATTTATTGATATTTATTGATATTTATCGATATTTATCGATATTTATCAATATCTCTACACCACGAGCCCTTTCAGATGAGCTGTGGCTGCTGGCTGATATTTATCGATATTTATCGATATTTATTGATATTTATCGATATTTATCAATATCTCTACACCACGAGCCTCTCCTGATGAGCTGTGGCTGCTGGCTGATATTTATCGATATTTATAGATATTTATCGATATTTATCGCTATCTCTACACCACGAGCCCTCTCTGATGAGCTGTGGCTGCTGCCTGCCCACCTCTCTGCCCGTACTCCACGCTGTGCAGGAAGAGCCCCTGGGGCGGGGCCGTGGCGTGCGGGGGCAGCGCCCGGGGGTCCCTGAGCTCCAGCAGCGCCTGCAGCTGCCCCGGGGCCAGCCTGCCCTGGCCCACGGCCACCAGGGCGCCCACCATCCTCCGCACCTGGGGCACACAGAGAGGGACAATGCTGGGTTTAGCCTGACAGGAACCAGCCTGGCTCAGTGCCAGTCCCAGCATCTCATCCACCCCCAGTTCTCCAGCCCCAATTTCCCATTCTAAATTCCCCATCCCCGATTCTCTGTCCCTAATTATTCACCTCCAATTCTCCATTTCAATTCCCCCTCCCCAATTCTCCATCCCCAAATCTCCATTTCAATTCTCCACTTCCAATTCTCCATCTCCAATTCCCATCCCAAATTCTCCATGCCCAATTATCCACCTCTAAATCTCCATCCCCAATTCTCCATTTCAATTCCCCCTCCCCAATCCTCATCCCAAATTCTCCACCCCCAATTTTTCATCCCCAATTCCCCCTCCCCAGTTTTCCACCCCCGCCTCAATCCCTGATTTGGATTTAACAAAAATTCCATTTTTCACCTTTCCAAACTCTCCCAAACCCTGCCTGCAGTGCTGGAACAAATCCCTGGGCTGAGTTTGTTACCCATTAATTAAAAAATAAATAAACCAAAGCCCCCTGAGCAACCTGCTCATGATCAGCCCTTCAAAAATATCCAACAGGCCAAGGTGGTTTTATCCAGAGGGAAATTTTGGGACCTTGGAGTGCCCAGAATTTCTCTCCAAGCAGCTCAAATCCTCCCCTCTGTTATTTCATCCTCCCTCACTAGAGGTCATTGCATGCCACGACTTTGCTGCCTCCACAATTCAGGAAAAATCAGATTAAAAATCAGATTATTGGCACCCATATCTGTAGGTTTGGTGCCTCCACATATAAATATATCCACATTCAGCTTCCTAAATGGTTAAAATATTAACATACAAAATATTAAAATATTAGGATAATTATAATATATAATTATGTAATAATAATTATTATTATTTTGTAATTATTTCCAAAAAATCCAGGGGAGTTTCAGGGCAGAGGGAGAATTTCTGCAGTTTGTAAAGCAAAAAAAAGTTTTTAAATTTTTTTTCCCAAAAAAAGCCAGGAAGTGAAATTCCAGACAGCTTTTCCTAGGCTCAAATCCACTGAGCATGGTAAAAAAATTAAAAAGAATTTTTTAAAAGGGCAGAGATTGTGAAAAACACTTTTTTTTCCATCCTGCCACCTGATTTTTTAAAGGTTTTGGGCACAAATTTAGGAGATTTTGGGATCAAATAAAGAGCCCAAGTCCTTGTGAGTGCCACACAGCTGGAACATTGCTAAAACAATCGATTTTTAGATGAATTAATTAATTTTTAAGTTAATTAATAAATTTAAATTTGGGTTTGCAGCAGCTGCAGGCAGTACCTGTCGGTACAGGAAGGATTTGCTCTTCACCTTCACCTCCCAGAACTCCAGTCCCCTACAAAAAACCCAAAAAAAGAGCATTTAAATCAAATTTCAGGTGGTTTTTAACCTCCCAGGACTCCAGTTCCCTAAAAAAACCCCCAAAAAAGCACTTAAATCAAATTTCAGGTGGTTTTTAACACTGGGCTCTCACCTGTGCAGGTAGGAAAATAAAACCCAACTCCTTGACAGAGGTGGATTTTAGCCATGAGTGTAAATAACCCAAAAATGAGTGTAAATAACACAAAAAATGAGTGTAAATAACACAAAACCCCTCCCAGGAGCTGCTCCCTGATATTCCCACACTCCAGCCTGTCCCATCTGGCTTTTCCCTAAAAATCTGACTGCCTGGACAGTCACCTGTGCAGGTAGGAAAAACCCAAATCCATTCCTTGGCAGAGGTGGTTTTGAGCCACCAAAATGAGTGTAAATAACACCAAAGTGAGTGAAAATAACACCAAAATGAGTGTAAATAACACCAAAATGAGTGTAAACAACACCAAAATGAGTGTAAATAACACTAAAATGAGTGTAAATGACACCAAAATGAGTGTAAACAACACCAAAATGAGTGTAAATAACACTAAAATGAGTGTCAATAACACCAAAATGAGTGTAAATAACACCAAAATGAGTGTAAATGACACCAAAATGAGTGTAAATAACACTAAAATGAGTGTAAATGACACAAGAACGGCTCTGGGAGCTGCTCCCTGACAATCCCACCTGGGTCCCACCTGGGTTTCCCCTCAGCCCGGAGTGCCAGGGCTCTCACCTGTGCAGGTGGTGCTGGCCCAGGAGGCCGTGGCCAGGCTGGAGCTGCAGCAGCTGCAGGGTCCTCACGGGGCTCTGGGCCGCAGCCTCGGGGCGTGGGGAGCGGAAGGTGCTGAAATCGTGGGTGCCCAGCAGGAGCTGGGCTGCTGCCCTCATGGCTGGGATGTCCAGGGGGCTGCCATGCACAGAGACCGCTCAGAGCCCTGGGATTGAGCCAGGCTTGGAACTCAGAGCCAGGGCACTGAGCCAGGCTCAAACACCAGGGAGGTACAGCAGGCTCAGAGCCCATAGAGTTGTGCCAGGCTCAAACACCAAGGAATTACACCAGACTCAAACCCCAATAAATTAGTTACACCAGGCTCAAACCCCATAGAGTTACACCAGACTCAAACCCTAATAAATTAGTTACACCAGGCTCAAACCC